GAAGGAGAGATAAAGAATTTTCCAGACAAGCAATAGTTAAGGGATTGCTTCAGCAAGAAACCAGCTTTCAAGAAGTGTTACAGGAATACCTGTAAAATAAAAAGAAATGGCACTGAGAAGTAACAAGAAAAGATGGGGAAATTTTCACCGATAAAAGTAAATATGTAGTAAAGATAGTGGATCAATCACATATAAAGAATTAAATGAAAGGAGCAGTGTAAATTAAAACTGTAATCAGTTTGGGGAAACAAAAAAATGAATTATAAATTACTTCAAGATATAGACTGCTAGAATACATTAAAATTAACTTGCTAGAAATTTGGTACAGAAAGCTAAATATATAGGATAGTTATGCATATACCACATGGCAACCTCAGAACAGCTGAAATTACAAATGAAATCTATATGCAACACTAAAGAAAATTATCAAATTACAAGGGACCAAGTGAACAGTGTGAATCTACAAAATATCCAGAAAATAATGAAGAAACTGATAATAACTACATATCTATCCATGAGCACCTCAAAAGTTAATGGACTAAATTCTCCAAAGTCTAAGATGATTGGGTGATTAAAACAAACCCCATCTATATGTCATCTCCAAAAGATCCAGTTCTTATACAAGACCAAAAGGCTAAAAGTGAACAAATGAAAGAAGATGAAGGAGATACTGCATGCAAACAGAAACTAGACAAAAATATCACAAAAAATAATTATAGATGATATATATGATATCTGTGTAGATATAAAAATAATCAACAAAGTACCAGCAAACTGAATTCAACAATACATTAAAGGTATCATATACCATGATCAAGTGAGATTTATCCCTAACTTGCCATGTGAAAAAAAAAATGATCAATATCTATTTATGATAAAATCTCTCAAAAAATGATGAGTTTCATCAAATACCTCAAAATAATCAATGCCAAATATGATAAATCCATAGCTAACATCACAATGTGGAAAACTGAAAAATTTTTCTTTGAAGTCAAGAACAAAACAGGGATGCTGACTCTCATCACTCTTATTTAACATACTATTGAAATGTCTAGCCAGAGTAATGAGACAAGAAAAATAAATAGCTTCATCCAAACTGGAAAGGAGTAAGTAAAATTTTCAAAGCTTGTAGATAAATGCATTATTAAAAATAATGAATACAACAGATATATAGATTACAAAATAAAAAAAGTCTTGTGTTTCAATGGAAAAATGGCAAACTATTGGAAAGAGCAATTAAGTAACAATGCCATTTACAATAACATTAAAAAAATTAAGTACCCAGCAGTACATTTAACCAAGGAGATAAACAACCTGCTCATTTAAAAGTATAATACACAGTGGGCCTCCCGAGTGGTGCAGCGGTTGAGCGCTGGGCTGCAAAGCAGCCCACAGCCTCTGCAGCGCTGGTTCAATCCCCGGTCACAAGCGAGCATCCCACATGGCGCACAGATCTCTCCTGCCGCACCCGCTGCTCCCCTCAGCAGTGTATTTCATCACTCTGCCTGTTCTGCTCCCTGCTCTCTCTCTGGTGAATTCTCTCACCCTCCTGTGCTTCTGACTATACCCAGTGCTTGCATAAAATAAATAAATATTTTTTAAAAATAAATAAAAGTATAATACACTGTTGAAAGAAATTGCAGAAGACATAAATAAATGAAAAGATATTCTCTGCTTATGGATTGGAAGATTTAACATTGTTAAATGACTGTTTCACTTAAAGCAACCTAAATATTCAGTGTAATCCCTTTTAAAACCCCAGTACTGTTTTTCACAATATTTACATGGAACCACAAGAATCCACAATAGCCAAAACAATATTTAGGAAAACAAAACAAAACAAAAATGGAGGTATTCTTCTCCCTAACTTCAAACTATTCTAAAAAGCTATACTAATTAAAACTGCTTGGACAAATATATCAAATAGAATTGAAAACCCAGAAAAAAAAAAATCACACAAATAGGGACCTAATATACAACAAAGTAGTTCTTGCAGGGAGAAAGAAAAGTTTCTCCAGTAAATGGTGTTGGACTACTGGACAACATGAAAAGGAATGAACCTATATTACTTTATATAATACACAAAAATTAATTCAAAAAGGATTCAAGAATTGAATGCATAGAATTAGACTTCCAATGGTGATTTTATATACATATACAGATGTTGCTTTTTAGTGATGTACAACTGAAACTAAGAAAATGTTATAATACAAAGTTATATCATAAATAATAAAAATCTGAGTACAAGAAACCATAAAATACATAGAAGAAACATAAACAGTAAGAGCCTCAGCAATATCTTAGTGGATTTAACTCCAAAGGCAAGAGAAACAAAAGAAAACATATACAAATGGGGCTACACAGAGTATTCATCACAGATCCCTATGCTCATCACATTATTTATATTAGCCAAGATATGAAAAGAACCTACTTGTCTATTGACAGTGAATGAAAAAAAGATGTGTATTTAGATACAGACACATAAAATGCTCAGCTATAAAAAAAAGTTAAAAGTTGAAATCTTGTTATTTGCAACAACATTAATGAGGCTAGAGGGCATTATGCTAAGAGAAATAAGCCAAGCAGAGAAAGACAAAAAGCATATGATTTCATGTATATGTACAAAGAAAAAGAGCAAATGAGCAGACAAAGGAAACAAACAAAAACCTCTTTGAAACAGAACAGATTTGTGATTACCAGAAGGGAAGGGATTGGAGGATTGTATAAAATGGGTAAAGGGAATCAATTGTATGGTGATGGATAAAAACTAGGCTTTTCATATAATTATGTAGTGTATACAGAAATCAAATTTTAATGTTATACATCAAAAGTTAGGTGATGTTACAAGTAATGTTATCATAACAAAAATTTATCATGAAAGTAATTATCTTGGGCTTCCCTGGTGGCACAGGGTTTAAAGATAGCACATTAAGCTATCACCAGCCACTACAGCATAAATTCGATTCCGGACCGGCCAGGGAGCTGCCCATATGGTGCAGCAGACCTCTCCTGTCTCACCCCTGCTCCCCTCAGTAGTGTATTTCAGTAGATCTGCTTGTTCTGCTCCCACTCTGTCTCTGGTGAATCCTCTCACCCAGCCCCCACACCTCTGGCTTACACCCCACTTCTTGTATGCATAGATAGATAAATCTTTAGGGAAAAAAAGAAAGTAATTATCAAAAAAAACTAAAGGGACATTGTAGGGTAAGGAAAAAGTATCAGGCTTTTCTGCCCTCCTGCCATTAGTACAGATGACGGAACCCTGCGGTCCAAAATGCATGCCTGATGGCGGGCACCTGGAATAGGGTGTGGGCATGCATAGATGGGATTCACCTGGGCTGAGACTGGGCTTTTAGGGGCAGCATCGTGGGGATGCCAGCAGAAGCAAAGAGAAGCAGCAGCAGAGAAGCAGAAGCAGAACCATGAGAGAAGCAGAGAGAATGCAAGAGAAGGCCAGAGAGCCCTGATAGAGTGAAGACTTGCTGGGGGCTGGGAGGCCTGCCAGCCTCCCGGCCCCCTAGCACCGCTGCCTGCTGTGTACCTTGTAAATCCCAATAAAAGCCTGCAAAACCCACTGAGGGCTCCAGGACTCTCTCTAGGACTCCTTCTTTACCCGGTCTGCTGGATCAGAAAATCTGCTCCGTGTCCATTCCTGCCCCTACAGACATATAAGTGATTTAAGAGAAAATTTTGGCAGACAGTTCACTTTTTCTGGATTGCTATATAAAATATGAAATCTCAATATGGCAGGAGGCACTAGCTACAAATTTAAAGTCAAAAGCTGCTTGGTAAAACTTATAAAATTTTGGGGGACCTCTCTGGTGGTGCAAGGGGTTAAGTCTCAGCACTATCAAGCTCTTGCCGGCCACTGCACCATGAGTTCGATTCCAGGCCAGGGAGCTAGTCCACATGGAGCAGCAGACCTCTGTGTCTTGCCCACTGCTCCCCTCAGCAGTGTATTTCAGTAGATCCGCCTCTGTCTCTAGTGAATCCTCTCACCCCCTGCACCTCTGGCCTACACCCCAGTTCTTGTATGCATAAATAAATAATTATAAATCTTTAAAAAATTTACAAAAATTTTTTAATAGTTTAGTTTAAATGGATTGAACAATAAAATGCAAATAATGATCATACATACTTAAGAATGGTAGCATTAATTACAAAGAAATGAAAAATACCAATGGATTTAAGGATGATAGAAGAAATTTAAAGGACTGAGAAACTGGTCTGACCAGAATATGAGAAGATACAATTATTCATACATGATAGCCAACTAAGAGCAAACACTGGTACAATAGCTTTTGAAGACATTATAACAATTATGAAAATTTAAATGGTGCACATATTTGACCCATCAGAATGCATTGCTCACAGTTTAAGAAATCAGATAAATATGCAATGGTTTGAATGTAAAACTATCTCCAATGTATTTCTCTATGCAATAACTAAGTAAATATTTAACATTATTCAAAGGTTATTGGTGAATGACTTTTCAAACATCGTACATAAGTGTTATATAGAGAAATATATTAAAGCCTTTAAAGGATGAAGTAGATATGAATGGATAAGAAACTCTGATCCCATAAAAATATTAGATTATAATTAATCTGTGCAATATAAACATGTTATGGTTGTGTTTAATTTTATATAAATACATTTACAATCAATTATAATCTATTTGTACATGTATGTGTTAATTTGTATGTGTAATCCTTAAACTCATTTCTAAAATTTCATAATCTTAATCTAATATTATACTAATAGATTATTTCATATTATATTTTTGTTCTAAGTTCAAAGCTCATTAGCTTGAGGACTAAAGCAATCTGAACGCATAATTTATGTATAGATGTATAAATAATAAAATACACTTTCCTTAACTGCAATTTTTAAAAAGAAATTTCCACATAAAATAATTCTGTATATTGTAATTATCCTGAAAAATGTTATCAACATGAACAAAATAACTACTTATAAATAAAAATGTAACTATTACATACCCCATGTCCACTGCAGTTTTTCCTTGAGTCACAATGTACATTGGCAGTGACAGATTTACATGCTCTTCTTAAACAATACTAAAACATTAAAATAACCAATATCAACCAAAATTTTAAATGTAGAGTTGAGTTAAGCAATTATAAAAAAATTAGATACATGAACTCAATCAATCTGATTTTATGACCTTTATTGTATTAAAATAACTTGGAGTCAAATGGTATGTTAATACTTTATCAAATATCAGATTTTAAAATTATATACCATTTTTCCATTGACATTGATATAAAACAAAAATAGTTAACTTGTATTAAATGCTTATAGTATGCAAGGATCTGTCTTTGTACTTATAAGTATTATGATTTATACTAATGTTGGCCTTTTGAAAGAAAGAATTTTATACTCATTTCATATTGGAGAGGAATTTAACTTGTACTTTTAAGATTATGCCATGTGTTATTGAGAGAGTCAATATTTAGTACAAGAATTATTTTTTCATAGTCTATGAACAATGCTAAATATCAGTTTTCTTGCCACGTTAGATTTTTTTCTAATTTTAATAAAATATCTCTTACCTTTTCACAAGATATCATTTTAACCTGATTTTGATGTAGACTCTGTTTATGTTCATCTAGCCAGAATTTACTTTGAATTTCTTTTGGAGCATCTATTAAGATGCAGCTTGGGGACCTCCCCGGTGGCGCAGCGGTTGAGCGCTGGGTTGCGAAGCTTCCCACGGCCTCTGCGGTGCCGGTTCAATCCCCGGCTGCTCCCCGGCCACCGGAGGAGGGTCCCACAAGGCACACAGACCTCTCCTGCTGCCCACTGCTCCCCTCAGCAGTGTACTTCGGTCCTTCTGCCTGCTCTGCTCCCCGCTCTGGCTCTGGTGAATTCTCTCACCCTCCTGCACTTCTGACTGTACCCAGTGCATGTATAAACAAAACAAACAAACAAACAAATAAATAAATAAAACATGCCTCTAAAAAAAAAAAAAGATGCAGCTTGGTTTTCTCAACTTGATCTGATAGAATTTCCAATATATGGTGAATAATGTTAAGAGTCACTATTTTCTATAACCACTGATAAATAAGTAATTAATAAATATCAGTTTGTTTGACAGTAAGTGTGCTGATGAAGCCAACAAGTTTTACAAAATGTTGAAACAGTCAGCATTACCTGTCCACAAAGCTATTTTCACTCTAGTGCTCCTTAAATATTGGCATTGAGGTAATAATAAACCAGTCACACTTCAATGGCTTGTATTTAGTGGGGAAATCCAGAAAATGTTAAGTCTCACGCTTCTGATTTAATTTTCTTCAAGTAAATAACTCAACATAAGGCTGGCTTTCCTGTGATAACAGCAAAGGCTGGAGACACTATAAAAGTATTTAGCCCTGCTTAACAATATGTTTTTGAATATAAACATAAAGGACTTCCTTCTTTGAACAAGGCACACAAGTAATGCCCCAGAAGCAGTCATGTGAACATTCCAAAATATATATATAAGGCCTCCCTGGTGGCGCAATGGGTTAAGAGGCAACCTATGACGCTATCCGCAGCCTCTGCAGCATGAGTTCGATCCCCTGGCCAGCAAGGGAGTAACCCACATGGCGCAGCAGACCTCTCCTGACTTGCCCGCTGCTCCTCTCAGCAGTGTACTTTGTCAATCTGCCTGTTCTGTTCTCCACTCTGTCTCTGGTGAATCTTCTCTCCCCCCACACCTCTGGCCTGTACCCCACCTCTTGTATGCATAAATAAAATAAATCTTTAAAAAAACCAAAAAAATCAAAATATAAATATATATGTATATATTGAAATATATATGTGTATATATATATATCACTACATAACTAAAAATATACTGACTGAGGAGAAATGTCTGAATAATGTAAGCATATGTTCTTATAGTTCTGTATATTAGAATGGGTAAGGAAAAGGCAAATAATTTTATGTATTCATTCATTCATTCATTCACAGCTTATCAACTTTCGGACAGTTTTATGCTACAAACATTCCATTCAAAGCTTGAAGTGAATAGTATGAGATGATCTTATCTTCCATAGACTACCTATGAAGACTAGGATTGATCTTATCCCCCATAGACTACCTATGTAGACTAGACTTGTTCTGCATCTTACAAATAAAAAAATTCAAAGAAACTTTCTATTACCAATAATATTAAGCAAACTTTTTTTTTAATTTTATACAGGAATCAGGGTACAGGCCAGATGCACAGGAGGGTGAGAGGATTCACCAGAGACAGCAGGGAACAGAACAGGCAGACTGACAAAATACACTGCTGAGGGGAGCAGCGGGCATGACAGGAGAAGTCTGCCACACCATGTGGGACCCTTGCCGAGCGGGATCGAACTGGCGCTGCAGAGGCTGCAGACAGCTTCACAGTGCGGCGCTTAACCACCTGTGCCACCAGGGGAGGCCCAATATTAAGCAAACTTTTAATGCTGGGATAATGCCTATCTCCATGTAGCATGTTTTTCACTTAGTATATTACTGTGTTAAAAGTGTGTTTCATTAATGATTTGCATTATAATTAATAAGGGAGACATAATTTTATTCATGTTCATAAATCAAAAACTCCTGTTATATAGATAATAAGCAGGTATACAGTTAGTTAGGCAGATACATATAAGTAGATAGAAAGACAGATAGATTGATAATAGTTTTTCAAATGGACCCACATTATGAAAGTGAGGTAAAGAAGTCTTTACTTTTCAACATCTATGATATCAACTGAACAAGATAGTACTGCAATGGAAATACAGTATATCTTTGATGAATTTTTGTTAAAAACCACAGAACAATTCCAATTCAAATTGATAGACTTGACATTGTGGAAGACTTCCAAAAGGAAGGCAATACTGACAAAAGGTATCTAACATGGACTGGGGAGTCAATTTAAGAGATGCATTTTTCATATCTACTCCATGTAGAAGAAAATTGACCTTTTTTAAAGTATAAATGGGATTTTAATGTAGCCATTTAGAAGAGAATATAATTAGATGCCTATTTCAATATTTATTGGAAAAAAATTCCACGTGAGTTAAAAATAAAAATGTGAAAAAATTGTTCAAAATAAAATTTATGATAAATTTGTACACTAAGGATCAGGGAAACACTTTCAACTAAAATATTAAACTAGGATTATGTCAAAAACATGGAGGAAGAGAGAAGCTGGAATCAATCTCTCTCCTAAAACAACTAAAAAAAGGACTGATAAGGAAATTTTAGCAAAACTCAGATGCTTCAAATCTGCTATGCAGCACCAACAATTCTCCACGATGCCCAAGAGCCAAAAAGTGGCACAAAAAAGACTCCATTCAGAGTGGGCACCTGGCTGAACAGGAAAGCCCAGCCCACCAAGTCAGCCAACATCTTATTAATATAACCCAGACTGGGTCCCAGCCTGGAACACCCCAGTATCCCACCCTGCTACATCTGAGAACCCCCAGATACTCATAGATGCAAAACCCAGAACTCAGCACCAGCCACCAGCCCCACAGGAGTGGCAGAAACTTTATTTTGCCTTTTCCAAGAGATGCAACTCATGAGTAGTAATCCCTGCTGGGAGGCGCATCCCACTCAGCCCTCTGCTGTCACCTAGTGGCAAAACACCAGCCATCATCATCTGTTGAGCACTGAATTGCAATCTTGAAAGACCAAGCACCAGCCACACCATTCAAACAAACCCACATCTCCAAGCAGCCCAGGCCACAACTGGAACCTTGCAGTAGCCAATGCCCTGCATCAGAGACTCTCGGCTATCCCCAGCAACACCCAGAAGTGCATTCCACCCAGTCTGCTGCACCCACCAGTGGAAGGGGCCACAGCTGGAGCCTTGCAGTGCCAGGCCCTATATCAGGGCCCTTTGGATACCCCAAGCAGTCTGGTCGAGGAAAGCAACACCTCACCCCACCTCTGCCCAACTGCCACATCATCCCAGAAAGTGCACAGCTCCACACACGCCAAGGTAAAGAGTGCTGGGACATCCGCCTGCCAGCAGCAGCAGTCTGATCAATGGGTGCAGTAAGAACCCTTGCCCCTGAACCTGCCCAGCTGCCACAGTAGCCCGGGCAGTGTGAGGATCCACCCACTGGCCATCAGAAGAGGTCCAATGGTGGTGGGACCCGAGGGGAAAGCAAGAGGAGCATCCACCCCCGCCTCCACCCACCACCCATAGTGGTCCAAACTCCAGGCAAATCTATACACAGCCCAGTAAAAGCACACAAAAGTCATACCAGCAGGCACCAGTGGCCACATATCCTGTACCAAGAACAAACACAAAAGCAAACATTGGGGAGGAAAAAATATATTAATGCAAGTGGTCAAACAAGTCCTCCTGGGAATTTGTTATACACCACAGAAAGAAAGTCAGATTCCAGAACCCAACAACACTGACATGTAAAAATTTCTCTTCTTGACAGATAAAGAATTCAGAATCATCTTAATTAAAAAACCTAAAAGAAGCACAAAAGGGACAGAATGCTGTGAGAAACAAAACCAACAAACAGAAGACTGAGACTGAATCCTTAAGAAAGTAAAGGAACTAGAGTAGGTTAAAAGATCAACTCTGGAGGAGCTAAACTTTTTTTTGGAAAAGCCACAAAAATAGAATAGATGAAATAGAAGAATGAATCAGTACTCCTGAAGATACAGATATAAAAAGAACCAAGAAGGAAAAAGAAAGAGATGCAAAGGAAAAAAGAATGAAGAAACACTCAGAATTATCTGACAACATGAGGAAAGAAAATAAAAGAGTTATAGGAATCCCAGAAGGAGAAAGAGGAGGGAACTGAGAAGCTATTCAAGAAAATAATTGAGGAGAACTTCTAAAACTTGAAGAAGGAAATGAAAATAGACATACAGGAAGCTAGAAGAACATGAAACAAGACCAGCGTCCAAGAGTCCAAGACAAAGAAAAAAGTAATGAAGCTGACAAGGACGAAGAAACAGATAACCTATACAGGAAAACCAGTCAGGCTGATAATAGACTTCTCTGCAGAAATACTACATGTAAGAAGAGAATGGAGCAACAAATTCAATAAACTCTAAGACAAAAAAAAAAATATATATATATACCAGCCAAGAATAATTTATCTTGCAAAGCTCTCCTTCTAACCTCCACTCCAAGAAATATTATAAGCCTTAAAATCTAAACCACCAGAGGAATGAACAGGAAGAATGGAACAAGACAGTGAATAAAACACAAAATGATCACCAAAATTGCAGTAACAGAGTTCCATGAAACAATAATCACCCTAAATGTTAATGGACAAAACTCTTCGACAAAAAGACACAGAGTAACATACTGGATTACAAAACAGAATCCAACCTTCTGCTGCCTCTAAGAAACACACTTAAGCTCTAAAGATAACAATAGATTGAAAGTAAAGGGTTGGAAAACAATTCTACAAACAAACGACCCCCAAAAGAAGGCAGGCCTAGCCATACTTATAGCAGATAAATCAAAATCAACAAGCAACTATAAACCAGAAACATACTGGGGTGGGGGGAGGAGGAGGGATTAGGGTCAAAATAATGGGATGGGAATTGTTTGGGGACTAAAATCAAGATGAAAATGCATACATTGTACAAAAATGAAAAATGATATAAAAAACATATGAAATAAAAAAAGAAAAAAAAACAGAATTCAAACTTCAGCACCTGTATCCTTTTTGACCTTTGTGATTAGTTCTTTATTTTTTATATGAGACTATCTTTTTCTGTTCTGAGCTAAGTTTACTATCCCCTTCCGTTTCCTCTTATTTTCATGTCTTAAAATAATGTATCTCAATGTAAATTATTTTAATTAAAGAGTAAGTTGTGTAGTTTTTTCATTAGTCAACCAATTTTTCAATGGTGTCCCTGGAAATGCTCAATACCAAGCAAGGTTATTTTGGATTCATGGAGACTGGAGAAAAGCCCAGAGTTGTAGGACATTTGACATGCCTTTATTCATGAAACAGGAAGCAAGGCACACAAGCAGTGATATCCCCTTCACTCCCTTTCCACCCAGCCCTGACAGCCTTTACATGATTTATACACAAAACCAGCCTAAAGCCAGGTGTGTGTTTACAGTTTCATATGGGGTGCAGTTAACTGTGCATGCCAAGTGAATGTCATGGTTACAGAATGCTTGCTGATTATAGGTACCAAGTGAAGGTTGCAGTGAAGGAGCCTGAGTAATTCCATACCCCTCCCTGACCCCACAATGGTCCTAGTTAAAAATCCTTCATTCCTTTTTTAAGGAAATCTAAATTCTGTTTTATTATTGTGTCCTCTGTCTTTGGGGGAGGGTGGGAGATCACATTTTTTATAATATAGTATATAACTGAAGGGAGAATTAAGGTTGAGATTAATGAGATAGCTTATATTTTTCTTTTCATTATAATGAAGATATTTCTTGTCACTACTAAAGACTAGATACATTTTTGTCACTTTTTTCTTATTATTCATGTCATTTTCACTTATTTTTTAGTGTATTATTTAACCCATTTGATTCTTATTATTATAAGAATTATTATTATTAATATTAATAATAATAATAATTATTATTATTATTATTACAGCCCTGATCCTGGCCCAATGATCTTGAAGATTTAGATACCCATGTGAGATAACAAATTTAGTTACCTATAAAATAATTCATAACAAAAAGTGAAGCAATCTGTTCCCTTTATCAACAGAAATTCTGACTTCCGACTCTTATGATCATGACGTAGTAACCAAAATTTACATTAATTATAAATAAAAAATTTTAATTGCTCTTTTTTCCTCTTTGTTTTTCTCATACATACATGTGTACAGACATGCAAATAGCTTACACACCATAAACATATCCTATACACAGATTCAAGGAATTTTTACTTACCCGATTATACCCACACATAGTGCCATCTGCTGGAAAGGTTTTATCTCTCTTGCCAGCTGCGATTTTCTCTCTTGTTCTTGCAGACATACATATCTGACCACCAAGGTAAGTATACTGAACATCATAAAGTTCTGATTGTGTTATCTGAGCATGTGTCCAGTGACAAGTTAATTTTCCACATAAAATTGACCTAGGGATGTAAGGCAGAAATAAATGACTGTATGTCACTTAGGAACATTCTACATTAGGCAAGTAACAGTTTAAAATATGAGTAGGTATTTTTTTTTAATACTTGTTACTTTTTATTTTTAAATAAAAGAATTCTTAATAGCTATCCTAATGGGTATGAAGTGATATCTCATTGTGGTTCTGATTTACATTTCATTAGTTACTTCTGATGTTGTGCTTCTTTTCATATACTTTTTGGTCATTTGTATATTTTCTTTGGAGAAATGTCTATTCAAGTCCTTTGCATAGACAAAATTCCTTTGCCAGCTTTCTTCTTTTAATGATTTTTATTTTAAAGAAATGGTATCATTTGTCTTATAGACTTTTCCATGTTTTTTTTTCCCATCTAGACTTTGCTGATCATGTTTGTTTTTTTTTTTATAATAAATTTTATTTTTATATTCCCCATACAATTGCAACCCCCCCATTCTGATCCCAATCCCTCCTCTCCCGCCTCCCACCCCCCAAAAAGTGTCTCTGGTTCATAGTTTTTTGTTGATTTTGATTTTCACTTTCTTATAGTTATTCATTTTCCTGGTCCCTTATTTAAGTTTTCTAGATTCCTGCTATGAGTGAGACCATCCGGTATTTTTCTTTTTCTTTTTGGCTTATTTCACTGAGCATGATCCCTTCCAGTGCCATCCATGTTGCTGCAAATTGCATGTGTTTATCTTTTTTGAATGCTGAGTAATATTCCATGGTATATATGTACCACATCTTCTTGATCCAGTCATCTATTTTTGGGCATTTGGGCTGTTTCCAAAGCTTAGCTATTGTAAACAGTGCTGCTATAAACATAGGGGTGCAGGTGCTCTTTGGAATTGATGTTTCTGTGTCCTTTGGGTAGATACCTAGGAGTGGAATTGCTGGATCATATGGAAGCTCTATGTTTAGTAGGTCCAGAAATCTCCACACAGCTCTCCATAGTGGTTGGACCAGTTTGCACTCCCACCAACAGTGCAGGAGAGATCCTTTTTCTCCACAACCTCACCAACATTTGTTGTTGCTAGTTTTTTTAATATGTGCCATTCTCACTGGTGTAAGATGGTATCTCATGGTAGTTTTGATTTGCATTTCCCTGATGACAAGTGATGTTGAACATTTTCTCATATGCCTGTTGGCCATTTGCATTTCCTCTTCAGAGAAGTTTCTTTTTAGCTCTTCTGCCCATTTTTTGACTGGGTTATTTTCTTTGTTATTGTTGAGTCTCTTCAGCTCTTTGCAGATTTTTGTGATCAGTCCTTTATCATTAGTGTTGGGTGCAAAAATGTTCTCCCAGTCAGTGGGGTTTCTCTTTGTTTTTGTTATTGTCTCTTTTGCTGTGCAGAAGCTCTTTAATTTGATGTAGTCCCAGCTGTTTATCTTTGCCTTCACTATCACTGCTTTGGGTGATGTATCTGTAAAGATGTCTTTGATGTGCAAATCACGTAGTGTTTCGCCTATATTTCCTTCTATATATTTTATGGTTTCAGGTCTTATGTCTAGTTCTTTAATCCATTTTGAGTTGATTTTTGTGTATGGTGTGAGGTAGTGGTCAAGCTTCATTCTTTTGCATATAGCAACCCAGTTTTTCCAGCACCATTTATTGAACAAACTTTCTTTGCTCCAATGCATAGTCTTTGCTCCTTTGTCAAAGATTAGTTGACCATAAATCTGTGGGTTTATTTATGGATTTTCTATTCGATTCCATTGGTCTGTATGTCTGTTCTTGTTCCAATACCATGCAGTTTTGATGATTGTGGCTTTGTAGTAGAGTTTGAAGTCTGGGAGTGTGATGCCTCCATTCCCTTCTTTCTTTTTCAGGAGAGCTTTGGCAATTCGGGGTTTTTTGTGATTCCATATGAATTTCATCAATAATTGTTCTATTTCTTTGAAGAATGACATTGAAATTTTGATTGGAATAGCATTGAATCTGTATATTGCTTTTCGTAGGATGGCCATTTTAATAATGTTTATTCTTCCAATCCATGAGCAGGGGATGTCTTTCCATTTCTTTGTGTCTTCTTCTATTTCTTTTAACAGTGTTTTATAGTTTTCTTTGTATAGGTCCTTTACCTCTTTTGTTAGGTTTATTCTCAAGTATTTGATTATTTTTGTTTCAATAATAAAAGGGATGGTTTTTTTGATTTCTTCTTCTTCAGATTTATTGTGTATAGGAAGGCTACTGACTTTTGTGTGTTGATTTTGTATCCTGCCACTTTACTGAACTGATTGATGAGTTGAATTAGTTTTTCTGTGGAGTTTTTGGGGTTCTCTATGTATATTATCATATCATCTGCAAATAGTGATAGTTTGACTTCTTCTTTTCCTATTTGGATTCCTTGGATGTCTTTCTCTTGTCTTATTGCTCTGGCTAGGACTTCCAGTATTATATTGAAAAGCAGTGGTGAGAGTGGGCATCCCTGTCTTGTTCCAGATCTTAATGGAATTGCTTTCAGCTTTTCACCATTGAGAATGAGTAGGTATTTTTAAAGTTTCACTCAGATCATAACCACGAAGCTATTTCAGAAAATAGATAGTCCTATCACATTTGTATTAAATGACCTTGCAGTACACACACACACACACACACACACACACACACACACACACACAGAAACATGTGTTTGGAAAATGTATAATTTTATAAACACATACGTAAAATCACATGCTTTCTCTGGAATACAATATCCAAAGCCATCACTTAGAAAATTCACCTCTTGTGTGCATAGAGCAGAAGACTCCTTGGCAACTGAAAACATAAAATTCCAATTACTCACTGAATTAAAATTATTAAACTCTAAAAGAGTGTTTAAATAAGAAAAAGGTATCTAGGGCCTCCCCACTGGAACAGCGGTTGAGCGCTGGGTTGCGAAGCTGCCCGCAGCCTCTGCAGCGCGGGTTCGATCCCCGGCCACTGGCAAAGGTCCCACATATTGCTCAGACCTCTCCTACCGTGCCCACTGCTCCCCTCAGCAGTGTATTTCATCAGTCTGCCTGTTCTGCTCCCCACTCTGGCTCTGGTAAATTCTCTCACCCTCCCACGCTTCTGACTGTACCCAGTGCTTAAATAAATAAATAAATAAATAAATCCTTAAAAAAAAAAAAGTAAAGAAAATTTTAAAAACAAAAAAAAAGAAAAGGATATCTAAACAACAGGAATGCCCACTCAATGATATCTACTATAAATTCTTGGTATCATCAAGTTACCTTATAATAAGAAAAACTACACACTTGAGGATACAAAAATTGACATCATCAAGGAGAAATGATTAAGAAATCAAACAGCCATTTACTTTTTTATTTATAATTCTAATATTGGGCTTTCTTTCCACCAATCACATAAACTTACTACATCTTAATATTATTTTCCTGTAGTTATAAGATCTATTTTACCTCTTGATAAAGTTCAAAGTGTTTTGATTTAAAATTTCATTTTCAAATTTGATTTTTAAAAAATGACACTTTTTATTATGGCTATAGATTACTGACATTAGAAAAATATGGTTTAAATAACAACCCCAGAAAACATAAATTACATTTTCCAAATAACTCTACACATTGTGTATCTCGGTCTCTGCATACTCCACCATAGCAATAGGCACTTTCATTTCCACATGGTTCTAAATCTAAAGATTTCATATCAGCTACACAAAACTCAGATTGTCCATTGCAATATTCTGTGAAATCACATGGATTTGTGCTTTTCCTACATACACGTCCTTTTGGGGCTACCTGTGAGACAAAAAAAAAAATTAAAGTAGTAATATAGAAGTGTAAAAAATCTAAAAAACATTCCATTTGTAATTATTTCACTTATTATTACATTTTTATTATTTAAAGGTAAATTATGAATTTATATAAAAATTCTAGTGAAATAGATTGGAAAGAACTCAAAGGTCCATCAATGAATGCATAGATAGATGAACATACAAACAAAGATGGGCATACAATCAAATATTTTCAGCCATAAAAAGGAATGGAGTACTAATATGTGTTACAAGGTAAATAAATTTTGAAAACACTACATTAAATGAAGAAAATCAGACACAAATGTCCACATATTGAATGGTTCTATATATTGAAAAATACAGAATAGGCAAATTCGTAGTGATATAATGCGGATTGGTGGTTATCAGAAACTGAAAGGAAGGGAGAAAGGAGAGCAACTACTTAACTGATAGGAGGGCTTCCTGCTTAGTGATGAACATGCTTTGCAACTAGGTAGAGGTGGTAGTTTACAAAGTGCATTGTGAGGGCCTCCCTGGTGGCACAGGGTTTGTTAAAGTCTCAGTGCTATGAAGCTCTCACAAGCCACTGCAGCCTGAGTTCGATCCCCAGAAAGGGAGTGGACCCACATGGTGCAGGAGACCTCTTCTGTCTCACCCGCTGATCCCCTCAGCAGTGTATTCAGTAGATTTGCCTGTTCTGCTCCCCACTCTGTCTATGGTGAATTTTCTCACTTGTCCCCTAGAACCTCTGGCCTACACCCCAGTTCTTGTATGAATAAATAAATAAAACTAAAAGTAAAACAAAGTCCAATGTGAATATACATGTACCTTGTATATTCAAGGTATCATTGACTTGTTGACTATAAAATGAGTAACTTTATGTTGCATAAATTTCATCTCATTTTTTAAAAAAAATCTCTAGTGAAAATTCTAATGGTCAAAATTTTATGATTATCCTGAGTGTTACTTCAAAATAAATAGGAAATAATGGATATAAAGCTATGCATGTTTATTTTTCACATTCAGGATTTTTGGGAATCAATTGTACTCCAGAATGTTACACTAAATTATATGTCAGTTTTTACCATCTTCTAAAATATTGCTTAATAGAAATCTTTTTTCATTCTTTCATTTCAAGTAACTTTTCTCTCAGAACCTGCTCCACCTCTACCAAGGAGTTAAAAAACACAGGAATATCCTTATGACTCAAGTTGATCATCAGATTACTTCTACTTGACAGTGATTGGAAAATGGTGGTAAATTTAATTTAGTAAGATCAGTCAGGAGTTCCTCCAATATTAAGGATTGACTTGTATATTAGCAGAGGGAAAATCCCTCTATTCTCCTATAATATTGAAATCTATTGGACTAGAAAAGCCAGAGATATAAGAAGATTATATATATATATATTATATATATATATATTATATATATATTATATATATATATCTCATACATGAAGAAAGCTAGTTTGAGGAATGTCAACAAAAATTCTGGGATATCCAATAAATGCATACAATAAGAATCCTGTTCTTGTTTGAAATAAATATTCACAGGGCCATGAAGTTAGACTCATATTTTATCTAGGCTTTATAAGTGTTTATTTGTATTTCCTTGCTAGGTCAATAATCATCAATAAACAACAATAGTACCCAGTGCCAATTAAAATTTAACAATTATAAACAAAAAGGAGACAGAAAGAGAGAAAATATCCTACAATGATTTCAAAACAATATTTAAAATGCTAAATGAGATACTGGAAGGTCAGGCAAAGGTAGACAAGCAGATGAATGATCCAAGAAAAAAGATAGTTCTTCACTAAAGGGACTGACTATACAAAAGGATCACAAGAAGAGATTCTAAATTAAATGCAGATAAACTTAAGACAGTACCTTAAATTAAATCAAAACAACAGAAGAAAGAATTACAGCTGTAGATGACACAAACAAATTACACACTTAGAAGAGAGGGCATGAAGACAAAGGAAAAATGAGAAAACTCCACAAGAAATTCAGTCTCAATAAGAAGAGGAAAACTAACAATGCTCAGACTCCCAGAAGGGGAAGAAAAAGAAATAGGAGTAGAAATTCTGTTCAAAAATAATAATAAATGAGAACTTCCCAAACCTACACAATGAATGAATATGGAATTCCAGCAAACAGAGAGAACATCTAAATTCTTTAGATGCAAAAATACCCAGATACATCATTGTCAAACTCTCAAAAATCACAAAGAAAAATTTTGCAGGAAGCAAGGAAAAAAATAAACAATATCTTACAAGAGATCCCTAATCAGGATTTCCCCAGATTTCAGTCCAGACAATTTCCAGGCAAGAAGAGAGTGGGAGGAAATAGTCACAATCCTAAAAGACAAGAACTCTCAGCCAAGAATTCTCTATCCTGCAAAATTATCAATTAAGTTTCAAGTGGTAATAAAGGTTTTCTCAGACAATGCATTTTCCCATCAAAAGATTTGTTCTTCAAGTAATACTAACAAGAGTTCTACAAGAAAATAAAATCTGTGGTGGGAATTTTACTGGGAATACACAATGATGTAAAAGATATAAATAAAAATAAATTATAAAAAATACAAATTGCAGGCATTCAAAAAAAAAAAAAAAAGAAACCTGAAGCACAATATAACATCTTAGCAATATAACATCAGTACCAAGATCAAGAATACTATGAGTTAACACCACCAAATACCAAAGAGGAGGAAGAAATGTGTAGAAATAACATAGTTAAATGCTGGAGGGCAGACACCAGCTCATAAAGGGCCTAAAATACAGGAATTCAAGTAAAACCCTCATGGTAACCACTAGCCCAAAATCCATAATAGACACCTGCAGACAAAGAAGCAAGGAAATTCACAGAACTACTAAGGAAAGTCATACAAAAAGAGTGGAGAGAAAAAAAGGGGAAAAGAAACAGCAGGAAGAAAAATCAAAAACCAAAATGACTGAAAATAAACAGTCCATATCTATAATCAACCTAAATGAGAATGGTCTAAATTCACCAATAAAAATATATAGGTTAACAATGTGGGTGGACAAAAATACCAGCCATCAGTACTTTGTTTACAAGAAATCCATTCAAAATCAAAAAAAAAAAAAAGGACTAAAGATAATAGGCTAGAATAAGATTATACATGTTCATAACTCAGAGAGTAAGTCAGGAACATCTATTCTCATATCCAATAAGCTAGACTTTCAACTAAAAAAGATAATTGGGGCAAAGATGGATACTATAATTAAAATACTCTTTTATTCAGGACATTAAAAATGACACATTTGCAATTCATCTTGAATAATGAGAGTGTAGCAATGAAGCATGTGAAAATAAGAAAAAAATTAATAATTACATCTAGGAATGTGTGAGTACTTGTTAGAAACATGTCAGTCACTCAGTTCTTAGCAAAAAGTTTTATAAACTTTTTGTATAAACTAGTATTCTATAAATTAGTTGTATAAACTAGTATTTTTTCCCATCTTTGCCCTTGAACTTGAATGTATTAAATTGAAAATTTATGAGAAATAGTTGGGTCAAATTGCTAAATTTCAAATTAGTGTTTGTGTAAACTAACCTAATTAAAAGTAGACATGGAAGACTTTTATGCTTTTGACCAATAATAAAAGATAGCAGAGTGTAAAATATCTGTGAGCCTTTAAATGACAGTCAAGACCAAATTCTATGCTATAATATAATAAAATTAATGTGAAACAACATAGTATAATTACCTGTTACACTGAAGAACACCCTAGCAACTTTCACTGTGGATTTTTACTTGAAAAATTTAACAATTATCTTTGATAATTGGGAAGTAAGAGCAAAGAACTGTTTCGAAAAGCTTTATTTTTAAATGCCATTGGTTTAGAGATAAAGCGCAAAATTATCTTTGGTGATGAAAAGTGAAAAGGTTTGCTGCTAAGTAGAAACTCTAGGCTGAACTGTACATTCATGCACCTTAAAGTCAATTAACCATTGGCTTTAAGTGCTAGCCCACAGAGTGAAAAAGAAAACACAAGAACAGCGCAGAATAATGTTAGGAGAGATTACTTTGACAGAGAGAAAACAAATCTGGCAAAGAAAATCTATAATTAATCAGTTTTTATGCTTGCCATAAACTCCTGAAAGTCACACACACACAAAGCAGGATGCAATCTAAAAGACAACTACACAGGTTTCTTTTAAATTGGGTAATGAAAATTGCCAAGTTGCAAGAATTCAATCACTTCCAGCACCAGGAAACTTTGCCAAAACTAAGGTACATTGTATGATAGGCTTCCCATTGCCGACTATTCTACATGGATTCCTTTTCTGCTACGTTGTGATGAAATTTTAAAATCATTATTGTCTGTTTATTCAAACATTGTATGACAAATGTGTTTGGGTTCCTCATTTGTAATTTAGACATAAGTTGGTTAATTATGTAGAAATACACTGAGGCATGACCAAAATGTATTTATAGTGCTTAAATAACCTGGAATTGGTACTGAATACACTAACTGGATGAGTCTTGAGTGAAAGCGAAACAATACAGGAGGAGTTTGAAAAAAGACATAAGGATGTTCTCTGAATTCTAAAATCAACTGTGCATGAAGAGGGGACATAAAGTAAAATAACTGATGTATAAAATTGTTTAAATATAAAAAATGAATACACAGTTAACAAAAAGACACATGAAAGAAAATAATGTCCTAGTTTGAAAACTTACCAGACAAGTCTTGTTATCACAGCATGGTCCACTGCCACACTCTGCTGACCTAATTAGACTACAATCCTCAGGTTGACAGCATTTTTTATGATTGCAACTCTACAAGCAATTATAATAAAGTTAAATAATAGGTAATTTCAATCAAATAAATAATTGTACTTATTGTCAAAAATACTAATGTATGTCTCTAAGTTAATTACAATCACAACATAATTTTTGTTTCTGCCTTTATTTTTAACATCACTTCATTTAAAGTAGATATATATTACAGGGCCTCCCTGGTGGCACAACGGGTTAAGCACAACACTATGAAGCAATACGCAGCCTCTGCAGCACCAGTTCGATCCCCTGCCCACTAGGGAGCAACACACATGGCGCAGCAGACCTCTCCTGTCTCACCCACTGCTCCCCTCAGCAGTGTATTTCAGTCAGTCTGCCTGTTTTGTTTCTCACTCTGTCTCTGGTGAATCCTCTCACCCCCTGCATATCTGGCCTGTACCCCAGCTCTTGTATGCATAAATAAATAAATCTTTAAAATAAATAAATAAATAAATAAATAAATAAAGTAGATATATATTACATAGAGGAAAAAAAGGTGTTCAAGAAATTGAATCCTTTATAGCTGACTAAAAAACTGAAGCATCACAGCAAAGAAGGGGTGAGAAGAAGAGGGAAAGAAACACGATGGACTATGGTGAACTATAAGTGTGTTGGTTGTGGGTGCACTACAATGGAAATACCTGACAAGGGTATCCAAATATTACCTCATTTGTTACTTCTTTTATTTTTTTCATTAAATTTGTTTCTTATATCATTGTAGTCCCCCACGACCATGTCATTGTGGTCTCCCATGACCATGTCAACTGTGAACTATGACCATATTCCCTTGCATTCCTCCCCCACCCATCATATCTGTGGTCAGCTTGCTAGTTTTAATTTTTTGAATTTTTGTTTGGTTTCTCTACATTCCACATATAAGCGAGACCATCCAATATTTATCTTTTTCCTTCTGACTTGTTCTGGCTAGCATAATCTCTTTTAGTCCATCCAAGTTACTGCAAATGGCATGAATTTGTCTTTTTTAATTGCTGAGTAATATTCCATTATATAAATGCACTACAACTTTTTGAATCATTCACTTATTTCAGAGCATTTAGGTTGTTTCCATATCTTGGATACTGTAAATAGTGCTGAAATAAACACTGGAGTGCAGATTTTTTTTGAATTAGTGTTTTTCTGATCTTTGTGTAGATTCCTAGGAATAGAATTGCCGGATAATATGGTAGGTTCATTTTTTAGTGCTCTAAGGAATCTTCACAGAGTTTTCCATAGTGACTGAACCAATATACATTCCCACCAGCAGTATAAGAGGGTTCCTTTATCTCCACATCCTCTCCAGCATTTGTTTGGTTTTTATAATGTGGGTCATTCTCACTGGCATGAAGTGGTATCTCATTATGGTTTTGATTTGCATTTCCCTGATAATAAGTGATGTTGAACATTTTTCATGTCTTTTGGCTATTTGCATTTCTTCTTTGAAGGCGTGTCTTTTAGTTCTGTACATTTTTTGATTGGGTTGTTTGTTTTTGTTGAATTGTATAAGCTCTTATCTGAATTAAAAATAAAAGAAAATGAACTGCTAAAATAAGAGCCATAAAATAAGGGGCATGATCTGAATTAAAAAAAAAAAAAAGACTTACATTTGAAACCTCACTATACTATGTACTGAATGACACTGGTTAAGCATTTTTGCTTAATCTTTACATGCCTCGGTTTCTTTTTCTGTAACTGCAACTAAATCATTGAGTTTTTGCTGGAACTAATAAAAAACTGTAGTCAAAATAAATAAAATTGAACTGTTAAAAGTTAATGCAATTTAAATCAGTCTTCTTTTTTAAATTTTTTCCCATTACAATTTTTAAATAGAATTAACTTTGTATTATAACACTGTATTAGTTTCAGGTATTCACCATAGAGAATCAATATCAGAAGTCCAAATCTATCCTTCAACTTTGTATTCCCAATTATATGCACTCTAATTTTAGAAATTAAGGTATTTTTCCATTTAAGTATTTTCCATCCTATCAAACATTATCAATATATAATTTTGGAAATATCTGTGTGTTTGACAAAATAGAGACTTTAAAATTATAACCATACAATAATTTTATTATTGTAAATTATGCGTTAAAGAAAATTTTTGTCATTATTTCTTTAACTCCAAGATTTATAGTAAAAATCAAAATTATAATTTATTAGGTTATAGAGTACAAAAATATTTAGGATTCTATACTATAATTTTCAGGATTCTATATTATAACCATATTTTACTTATCTATTTAATGCAGGAGTGATATTGTACAGACTGATAAAATATTTTAAAATTAGTAAAGTGGGTAGATTAAAAAGAGTGATGTTTTTATATTTTTCAACTTTATTATCTGTGTTACTAATTTGCTGAAAAATCTTTAATATCTGTATTTAATTTATATCTCCTTGCCTATATTGTTGTGGGATATTGTTTAATTCTTTGGTTTGTAAGTACTTCAGTATTAATATTATTAACTCTTGTCCAGTAACCTATGTTAGCATGTTTTACATTTTGTCATGACAGCTTACTTTTTGTTTCATAGATTTTTTAATTATTTTTAGTCAATTTTAATATTGTGAAAAAAAATTTAAATCTGAAAACTGTCATCATTTTGTGGTTTTCTTCTTTGACTTTATGTATAAGATTATTCTCTACTCAAGTAAGCAACTATTAGAGTGTATAGTGGGTATATAATATGTGTGAGTCATATAGGACAATATGTAACCATAGATGATATAGACAAAGGTATATAGATGCATAGATATATAGAGATATAAAAATATAGATATATAGAAAACATACAATGTTTTGAGTAATATATATTATGAAAGAAGCTGTAATGGGAGCTCTTTTTGCCAAATAGTAGTGAAATTTATCAGTAGCATTCATAGAATAATAATTAATTCCTGATCTTAGACATGAACTGGATTAATATGTAATATATTACTTTAAATATGATGCTTTTAGTTATACTAACTACATATTATTAAATTCTATCAAAATGCTTTAATAGTTAGAGGGGCCAGATGATACCTTTATTGGTTCATGTTCATGTTTGAACTTTAGAAGAATGTGTATACTTCATAATAAAAATATTTTAAGAACAATTGTGCAGAGTACAGTGAAGAAAGAAGATTGAACCCTCACTGAATATTAATATTGGCATGAAAGAAAAATGAGTGACATTAAAGAGAACTCTCCAAAGGCTGTAATCAGAGTGAACCTGAAGAGGAGAGCATGATTTGAAAATATTCATGTAAAATGAAAATCTAAACTATATGCCCAGTTGAAACTGACTTTTAATGACTTGTTGAGAAGTGGAATCTTCTTATGGAACTGACAGCTAAATGCTGTAAACTATAGAAATATGATTTATCATTGAGAAATTAGAGAACACAAATAATATTTTTACTCCAAAAGTTTAGCAATATTTAATGTCATGTAATTATGCTCTCATTATTACTTTAATAAAATAAATTTTAAAATAATGAGTGGTTTATTTCTGAAATGAATTCTAGAATAAAAGACTGTTTTCGCATATTCCTTGCAATGATTGGTAATTTTGACTTGGACATTTTGCAGTTATCTTTCAAAATACGAGTCAGTCATTCAAAGTAATGTTAAACTGGCTAATGGCACAATCAACAATTTTTATTATTTATTTCTTTTTCATAATGTATGCAAAGAACACTTGAAACTGAAATTTTAAAATGGTGATACAACTTTGGTTATGGGTATGCTGTGGTATATACATTTATTGCATAATAAAGCTGGACTACTGAATGAGAATAGAGAAATATTAGGAAGATGCTAATTAAAGGAAGTTAGTATGTGCATAGATATAGACATAAATAATAAACCAATATATATGTGAGACCAAATAGATACTGAAATAGAAATCAATATTAGAGAAAAAGATATTTAGTATTTCAAAGTAAAAAGCTAAATTTCCAGAAAGATATAATTGTAAATAAGTTAGCACCACATAAATTAGCTTAAAAATATTTTAAATATGAATTCATTAAATTATACTAAAATTAGAGAAATTCAATTGTACAATTAATTAATATTATTTAAGTAGTAAAGGGTCAGGAAACAAAAATTAGTAAAAATACATAAGATTTGAATTAGTCACGTAAAGTATGATGTAATCATTTTTTGCAGAATTTTGTTTCTAACAATGAATTTTTATCTTCCCAAGAAAATAAGAACCATTCAAAAATATCCCCCTGCGTTAAGTATATAATGGCAGTCACAATAAATACAAAGGTAAGCTACCTTACACCAAGTGTAACTGAGTAAAAAAATAACAGCAAAAAGATAAATACTATAATAACAAACCAAAGATGATGATTCCATTCCATGATACCAAATTAAATAAATGAAGTTCCATCAGATGCAGCAACTAAAATTAGGTGATGAAGAGGTAAGCAAGCACAGCTGCTTAACAACTTAGTGAACTAATTGCAGTTACTTAGCTGAATTCAAGAGATGATTTAGGTGATGTACATTTGATAGTACTGGTTTTATGACATGGAAAGTGGGCATTGATACAATGGTTACACATTGAAAAAAAATCTATTTCTTTAATTCACACTGTACTTACCCCACACGTAATCCTTCAAATGCTTCACAATTAGGATGATTTGGTTATTACATGCCCTGTGTCTCCCTGTCTTAGATATTTGATAAAAGACTGAAGCATTTGGGGGGAAAAAGTCCAAACCTTTTATATCAAAGCTATATTTATAACTACAAGAGAAATACAAAACCATCTCTTTACATAACTATTAAGTGTTTGTGACTAACCTCTGCTGTGCCACAGTCACATTCCTCTGGTGGTTCCAAAACTCCATTTCCACAAACTGCTATTTTTCTTTGGAAAACCGCTGTTGAAACAGTTTGCTTCTGAAGACACTCAAATTCAGGTTGTGAAATTACATGTTTAAATTCATCCATGCTGCAACTGCTAAAAAACTTTACTCCATGGGAATGTCTAAAATTAAATTATATTCCTCAGATAAACGGAATCAAATCAAATCAGTATCAAAGAAGCATTCTTATATAAAGTGTTTTTAATTCTGTTCAAGTTCACTTATAGAAGGAGTGGAGAGAACTTTCTAATAAAAGATATAAGAAAAAGCAGGAAATTTGTGTCCATTGTAATTTGATATAATAGACACCTAGCAAGTAGAGAAAGTTAAGGTGATAAGAGTTATAATACATTCAAACTTAACAATTCTTGGCAAACAAAAACCTCTAAGAGTACTATTATTTATTATTTTCATTATAGTTGCCTTCATATTTATAATCATCATTATAAGAAGCAACAATCATTTATAAGGAAATGAATCATTCTAAGAAATTTATGCGGAAAACTGAAGCAATGAAAGATGGCTGATTTTGTTCATAAACATCAGGATTATTTGCTCTTTGTAACAACATAATTCAATTGAAATATTCAGCATTGATTAGATAAAAGGTACAATGCCTAGACTTTGATTTTTTACCTTTTTGCTTTTACATTTTGATACTTCTATGCACTGTTTCACGGGTTTTTGTTTCATTATGTAACAATCTCTAACAAATACAATTCAAAGAATAAATTTTGTTTACCCAAACAAGACTAAGTTGCCAAGAAGATGTCCTTGTAATTCTAAACATTGTAATGTATAATTCTACTTAGAAATGAATTCTCCTTATACCCTTCAAAGTAAGGAAATAATGACATATTACTGATATCTAATCCTAAAATTTTATTCAAATTCCCCCATCATAACAATATTGACAGTTTATGGAAAAATGATCCAGTTTAGAATCAGCCATTTTAAGTTCTTGTGTTCTCCTTTGTCTGTTTTTTCTGTTGGACTTCATGACTTCTAATACTTTATGATTACACCCGATTATTTGGCAAAATGTGCCTCATTTGAGGATTATGAAATGTTTCCTCATAGTGATTCTTAAGTTATACATTTTGCCAACATTTTCTTAGGACTATTGCTGTCATTGCCTCCTAATAAATGCTAAAAATTTCAGTTTTCTATAGTACTAATAAAAGGCATTTTGGTCAGCTAGCTAAGGTATGTAAGCCAGATTTCACTCTAAAGTTATTTTTTTAACCAGCTAATCATTTTTGGTAGAATTACTTTAGCTTTCTATATTCATTGTTGATTATGTTTTCAATTTATTCATGCATGTATTTTATTATATATAATCATACTATTCTATTACACTTAATGGTAGTTTTAATACACTATTGTCATTATTATTTATGACTTTCAAATAGACCCAGATATTGCTCTTGGGAGCATTTTTAATCTGGTTTTGCATTCCTTGGACAAATTTTCACAATTCTTTGAACACATCTTTATTTTCTGACACAAGGTGTTCCAGGCTGTACTTAGCCCTGTAATCAATCATTTCTCTTTTTTATTTTTAACATTTATCTTTTTTTTTTTAAATCATTTCTCTTCAAGGTACTCCAGCAGTTCCTTTTAATGAAGAACAGTATTTATAAAACCATGATATGGGTGACAGATGTGCTGACAATATTTAGCTACTTTTAAGGACAGAAACCAAAGCCACAGCAGCATCTGAGGAAATATCCACAGTCCCTTTGCTCTCACATGCAAGTTGCTATGTCCACAACAGTTTTAGCTTCTGCAGTGCCCTAGACATATTGACAGTTCGGTCCCAATCTTGACTGGATTAGTCAATGATTTCTGAGTTCCAAGATATGTAAGATTTCTAGAGCTCCCATTGTACCCCATTTATTACCTGTGATACAACAACTTACTTCAAGCAGGTCTTATTTTGTCATTGTATTGGCCACACCTGTTAGGACTTTGGATATATCCCTGTTTGGGAACTTCTGGAATATTCTTTTGTTTTTTCATTTATTTTCTTAGTTTTTCTCTACTTTGTGAGATTATTGAAGGAAGATAAAAATAGCATGCTTTGGGCCTCCCCTGGTGGCACAGTGGTTGAGCGCTGGGCTGCGAAGCTGCCTGCAGCCTCTGTAGCACCGGTTCGATCCCCGGCCACCAGCGAGGGTCCCACATGGTGCGCAGACCTCTTCTGCCGCCCGCTGCTCCATTCAGCAGTGTATTTCATCAGTCTGCCTGTTCTGTTCCCTGCTCCGGCTCTGGTGAATTCTCTCACCCTCCCACGCTGTACCCAGTGCTTGTATAAATAAATAAATCTTTTAAAAAAAATAGCATGCTTTGCTTTCATGCTTTGATTTCTGTCCTCTCCCTTAGTCTTAATACACATTCTTCCTTATCTAATACATCATCCTATCTTATCCTAATATTTTCTTCTTTCTCTTCCTTCTCACTCCATGTCATTCCTTTTCCTTCAATTATTCAGTCTGCAAATAATAGGAGCACATACAAACCTCTGAAAAGGTCTTTTAGCTTTTTTCTACATAATCTGTTAATGGCTTTAATTTCCATCAATATGCTGATGGGACACACATTTTAAGATCCCTTCCCCTTGGAGATCCACACTTATACAACTTGCACTTAACACTAAAGAATAACTCTGAATGTCATATTTAATCTATCCTCAAGATTTACTCACCATTCATTTTTTTCCATTCCAAAAATATTTACCTTTTCATAGTTTGTGATATCCACAAACCTTTAAGTAAGTCTTGACATCTCTTTTTCTCTTATTCTCAATAAAATATTATAGTTACTGTGAGAAGTATCATCTCTCAAATATCACGATATCATACCTTTTGATATGTCTTACATTCATTTTGCATTATAATTTTATTATTCATACAGATAATCAATTTAAATGTCTCATTTATCACAAAATCCTAACGTCCACATCTTGATTTTCATTTCCAGGATTTCTTCCCTTGACTCATTTTTATTTAGCCTCATTGTATTTTACTTTTCCTTCCACCTATGACTAAAATATTCTTCCTTATTGCCCCAGCTATTTCTTTTTTATTCATTTTTCTTCTCCCATTCTCTATATTCAGTGGGCCTGCTAAACTCGAGCAGCATGTTTGGCCACCATTATTGTTACCTGCAGTTCTGCATTCCTATACAAGGTCAGAACTGTCCTTCAGAATCGGTCAATCAGTCATAGGAGCCAAACCTCACTAGGTGCCTTTCAAATCAACCATGAGCAGACAGCTTGATCTCTGGGAAGGGTATGCATCAAGAAGTATGACCGGGAACACCCAGGGGGCTGATGATAAATGCATAAACTTACTCCTGACTCATACATCATGAGGTATGATGGGGAATGCCCAGAGGGCTGATGGCAGATGACAACAGACCCTAGAAGCTGATCAGTGGAATGCCTTGTTGATAAGATTAGGACCATGGCCAGGGGGCTGGGGCATGGTTTCTATTACAACATTTGATCATCAAGCAGAGAAGAACTATGTGGTCAGCAGACTCAAGTCCCCCCCCCAAAGCCCTCAATGACATTCCTTATTTTCATCCATTCTTTTCTCCTTGTCCTCCTAACCCACATAACTGATGCTGTATGATTATTCTACCAATAAAAACGGCCAGGATCTTGCTCTTCAGCAGCATCCTGCATTATGTAGTCTGCTCCACGACTTCTGTTTCTTTATTAGTGTGGTTTTGCCCGACACAACAATATTCCAATCTGCTGTGCCTCTCAAGCATCTTTCCATCTGAGGATCACTTCACTTGCTGACCTTGAAAAGTTTTGAGAGGCTCTTTACTTGACCAATTTCATTCCCTCTCTTTAGATCTGAGCATAATTGTTATCTCAAAGAAATCTTCCTAGACCATTCATCAGAAAGCTTATTCTCCCCATATATTTTCTATTTCTTCCCTTTTTGACAGCTATCATAACCTGTATGTTTTGGCATTCCTATGTCAATTTTTTAAAATTTTCTATCTCCAACATACCAATGTAAGAAATACAGGACATATCTATCTTGTTAATAATTTGTAAGAATAAATAAAACAATACTTTGAGATATAGTAGAAATGTTTTACATGCTTTTAGGATGAATGAATGAATTTTACCTCCAGAAGCTAGCAAATCACACACACACAAAAAAAATATCATCATTAACATTCATTTCATCTATAACAATAGACTGAATATAGAACTATTAAGATTCACTTTAAGAAGCTTTAAGTAAGCATGTATTAAGTAACAACATCTTACTCAAGGTTATATATTAATAATTTATACATCAAGGAATGCAACAAGTAATTACCAAGACAAGATTAAGATTTGATAAAAATAACACCTTACATTGCCTCAGGATTCATTATGCATATACTTCCTGGACAGTGACAATTATAGATGTCATCATATGTTAAGCCCAAACTGATTCCAAGCAACTGTGCCATAACAACCGAAAATGCCTCTGAAGTTACCATCTTTGGGTACTAAATAGAAAAAAACAGAATTGTATTTTAAGCTATTTGTCACTCCTTTGATTTTTTTTAAAAAACATTATATGAAAATAATAAATTTATTAAATGAAAATACAAATTAAATGGGGAATTTATTAAATGAAAATACAAATTAAAGAAACTGGTCTACTAAACCTTATTACTTTCCTATGAATATGGAAAAATTAGGTAGATTTTGTTATTCTTTTGGGGTATTTTTATGCAAAAAGAATTGACATGTAACAATATAGGACTAATGTCACATGTTTTATGATGATACTTATTTAAATTCCAGTAAACTTAATTTTGCTTTTTGCAGAATAAGTATTGCTTTAAGTATCACTTTTCAAGTGAACACCTGGAAAAAATACACATATTGTTAAAGGGTTGATTGATAATTAGTTTTAATTTCAGAATTAGTTTAGGAGAGACATAATTTTTTTTTCTAAGCTGATTACTATATACCTTGTGAATAGCATTTCTTTTGGATTACAAAAGAAAAACTTGGGATAAGATGATGTCAACAAGACACAAATCCTTGCAGTTAATTATCTTGTTTACTATAATAGCTCCATAGTTTTATCTTTTCCAGAAAATTACATAGTTGGAATCAAGCAGTTTGGAACATTTTCAGATTGATTTTTTTCACTAGCCATTATGCATTTAAGTTTCTTCCATGTCTTTCATGGCATGAAGTTTCATTTCTTAAATTACTGAATAATATCCCATTACAGAAATTTACTTCAGTTTGTTTATCCTTTCACTTATTAGAGGACATTTTGGTTGCTTCTTACCTTTGGGAATTGTGAATAAAGATAATATAAGCACTGATGTGCATGTTTTGAGTAGATATAATTTTTCAACTCATTTAGGTAAATGTCAAAGAAAACACTGGACATCTGGTAGGAAAATAAGTTTTATAACAAATTGCCAAACTGTATTCCAAAGTTACTATACCATTTTACATTCTCACCAACAATGAAAAAAATTCCTGTTGCTCCACATCTCACATCATTTGGCATTTTCAATGTTTTGCACTTCTAGTGTGAGGTTTTTAGTAAATATTCTTTCTCAAGTTAAAGAACTTTTATTCCTAAATTGCTAAAACTGGTAAACATAAATGGCATTGAATATTGTCAAATCCTTCTTCTGCACCTATTGTTAGTATCTTACAATTTTTTCCCTCTAGACTATTTGATTTGTTGATTAAATTAACTGCTTTTTTAATAAATAACTAGACACATATCTGAAATAAATTCTAGGTATAATTACTGAAAGGAGATATAAATATTAGAAAGAGGAACTCTGGAACTGAAAATACAATAAATGCACGTAAATATACCATGTATGGTTTCAAAAACAAACTTGATGAGGCAGAAGAAGAATCAGACCTAAAGACAGGGTGGTTGAAATCACTGTCAGAGGATCAAAAGAAAATCTTTAAAATGTATAGACATTAAGAAGTACCTAATATATGTACTATGGAAATCTCAGAAAAAGAAAAGACAGGGGCAAAAGTTTATTTGAATAAATAATATCAAAAACTTTAGAGCTCTGAAGATGAAAATGAACATACAGATTCAAGAAGCAGCCTACATGGAGACACATTACAATCAATCCATAGTAAGTTAAAAACAAAGGCTACTCTCATAGATTATTTTATTAGTTGAGTTCTCAGCAAACCTTGTATGCCAGAGGGTATAGGGATATATATTCAAAGAGCTGAAAGAAACTGCCACAAGACTAATATATTTAGCAAAACTGTCTATTAGAAAGTGATGAAAAAATAAAGAATTTTTCAAAGAAACAAAAGCTAAGGCAATTGAGTACCACTAGACAGGAAGGAAGAAAGGAAGGAGGGAAGGAGGCAAGGAGGGAAGAAGGGAGGGAGGGAGGAGGGAGGGAAGAAGGAGGGAGGAATGGAAGGAGGGAGGGAGAGAAGGAAGGAAGGAAGGGGGCCTTCCAAGGGAAAAGATGGTAGATAATGGTATAAATATAAAGGAGATTATAACATTCCCCAATAAGGAAAATATATATGGATAGATAAAATAGCCTGTAGTACAGTGATTTTGATCCATAAATTCACTTTTATTCTTGTACATAATATAAAGGACAAAACCAAAATAACAAGGGAGAAGGAGAGTTGTAAAGGAGTCAAGATGCCATATGCAATTGAGGTTAAGCTGCTATCACTTTGCCAAACTGTATTAAATGTTTATTAAAATGTTTTCAATACTGGGGCCTCCCTGGTGGTGCAAGGGGTTAAGCATCAGCACTATAAAGCCATCCGAAACTACTGCAGCACCAGTTCACTCACTGGCCAGAGAGGTGACCCACATGGTGCAGCAGACCTCTCCTGTCATGCCCCCTGCTCCAGTCAGCAGTGTATTTCAGTCAATCTGCCTGTTCTCCTCCTCACTCTGTCTCTGGTGAATCCGCTCACCCCCAGCACCTGTGGCCTGCACCCTAGTTCTCATATGCATAAATAAATAAATCTTAAAAAAAATAAAAGAACTAAGAAGAGATTCAAACAATAAATTAAGTAAATGGGCTTCTAACTTGGAAAATAAGGAAAGTTTTCTTGATTCACAGATGACAGAACCTAAATGGAGAAAACTAAAAAATTTCACATAACAAAAACAGTTAGAACCAATTAACAAATTCAGTAAAGCTGCAGAATACAAAATCAATACAATCAATTTGTTTCTTTATACAAACAATTCCACAATCCTGATACAATAACATCAAAACAAGTAAAGTGACCTATGAGACTAACAATATGTGTCCAAACATTGAAAAGTATTACTGAAATGAATTTACATAAAACAAATACATGGAAAAACATTTCATGTCCTTGGGTTGAAAGATTTAATATTGTTAAAATGCCACTGCTACACAAAGTGATCTGTAGATTCAATGCAAATCCAACCATAACCCTAATATCATTTGGGGGCAGAAGTAGATTTTTTAAAAAAATCTAAATATAAATAATGAATCTCAATGGGCCCTCAAGAACCATAATAATTTTGAAAAAGAACAAAATTGGAAGTCTCTCACTTGCTGGTTTTAAAACACATTACAAAGATACCATGATAAAAACAGTGTGGTAGTAAACTCTAATCTATCAGTCAGTGGAGTAGAAGCCTAGAAATAAACTCTCATATAAATAAACTCTGCAGTAAAATGTTCTATAAGTGTGCCAAGGTCACACAATGGAAAAAGGACAGTCTCTTCAAGAACATTACTTATAGTGAGAGGGCGGAGCAACATGGCGGCGAGGAGACGCTGCGAGTAAGATCTCCCATTAAAAAAAGTTAATAGGGAGGAAAAGCGGCAGGTCCCAGTGAGAACTGGGACACGGAAGATAAACGGACGACTCCAGCAAACTGCCCGAAGAAGAAAGTTGCCATAAAAGAGGACGAGAAGGGAGGGAAGCGCAGAACCCTGCTCCCCTCCCCCGCCCACAAAGTTGGCACTCTCCGACCAGCAGAGAGGAGGGAAACAACAAACCAAAACGGCCAACAAGAAAAACAGACACAGCAAGCGGGACTGTGAGTGGAAAGGAACTATTGCAGCCACCACACCCCGTGAACGGGAGCTGAGGCGAACCCTGCAGGATCCGCCGCGGAGGTGAGCTCCAGGCGCCATTAAAGAGAGCCCCGCCCCCCAGGAGGAGACCAGCACCAGCACACAGCCCCGGCCGCCCGGCTGCTTGAAACTGACAGAAGACTCCTGGAAGAACCAGAGGGGAACAGAGAAGCCCACCCAAGATGCCGGCCAGTCCCAACAACACAGTGTCCCAACGCATACGGCAAATTAGAAAACAGACAGTAGGGAGGAGAAGAACCACACGCAACCTAGCAACTCTCCAGAGAAAAAGCACACCACAAAAAGAAAGCCAGCCCCCAGATTGCAAAGACAATAACTTGGAAGAATTTCTGAGCCTTCCAGAAAGAGAATTTAAAATTGCCGTGATTAAAAAACTGACAGAAGTCATAAAGGAAAACAATGATAAGGGAAAAATAATCAACGATCAGAAGAATGCAATTGAGTCCCTAGAGAGGGAAAACAATGGTCAGAAGAAAGAAATTGAGTCCCTAAAGAGGGAAGTAAAAGAAATGCAGGAGATCAAAGAATTAATGGAAGAACTAAAGAATTCTGGGAAAAGCAATGAAAGCAGAATAGATGAAATGGAAGAACGAATAAGTAATCTTGAAGACACAGAAATAAAAAGAACCAAAACAGAAAAGGAAAGAGAAGTACGAAGGAAAAAGAACGAAGAAAGACTTCGGGAACTATCTGACTCCATGAGGAAAGGAAATATAAGAGTTATAGGAATACCAGAAGGAGAGGAGAGAGATGTAGGAACAGAGAAATATTCAAAGAGATAATTGAAGAGAACTTCCCAAATGTGAAGAAGGAGCTGAAAATTGATATACAAGAAGCAAGAAGAACACCAAACTTCCACGACGAAAGGAAAAATACAGCAAGACACATAATAGTAAAGCTCCCAAGAATCCAGGACAAGGAAAAAATAATGAAGCTGGCAAGAGGGAAGAAACAGATAACATTCAAAGGAAAACCAATCAGGCTGACATCAGACTTCTCCGAAGAAACACTACGGGCAAGGAGAGAGTGGAGGGACATAGTCAACAGACTCCAAGAAAACAGATGCCAACCAAGAATACTCTATCCCGCAAAGCTCTCCTTCCTCTTTGAAGAAAGAATATGGACCTTCCCAGACAAACAGAAACTCCGGAATTTCATTGCAACTAAACCCCCACTCCAAAAAATACTACAAGGAGTCCTAAAGCCAGAACCTCAGAGGGACGAATAACAATGAAAGAAGGCCAAAAAAAAAAAAAAAAGTTATTAAAAGAATAAATAAATAAAATCAAAGGAAAGACAAACACAATGGCAAATACAGATGTTAACATATCAATATTAACTCTAAATGTAAATGGACTAAACTCTTCAATAAAAAGACACAGAGTGGCAGCCTGGATTAAGAAACAAAACCCAACCTTTTGCTGTCTCCAGGAAACACATTTAGCTACAAAAGATAAAAATAGGCTCAAAGTTAAAGGATGGAAAACAATCCTACAAGCAAATGGACCAAAAAAGAAAGCAGGAACAGCTATACTTATATCAGATAAAACAGATTTCAAACTCAAAAAGATAAAAAGAGACCCCAATGGTCACTACATTATGATCAAGGGGACAATACTTCAAGAAGAAATAACACTCATTAACATATACTCACCAAACGAAGGAGCACCAAAATATATCAGACAACTGTTGTCCTCTCTGAAAACAGACATCAGAGAAAACACATACGTAGTGGGAGACTTCAACACACCACTATCAACAATGGATAGATCAACAAGACAAAAAATAAGTAAAGATACCAAAGCTCTAAATAAGGACCTAGAGCAATTAGGCTTAACAGACATCTATAGAACACTAAACCCCAAAAAAACGGAGTACACATTTTTCTCAAGCGCACACGGATCATTCTCCAGGATCGATCACATACTGGGGCACAAGACAAACATCAACAGATACACCAAGATTGAAATCATATCAACCATCTTTTCTGACCATGAAGGCATCAAACTAGAAATAAACCATAAAAAGAAGGCAAGGAACTTTCCTACCTCATGGAGATTAAAAACCACACTACTGGAAGACCATTGGACTAATGAGGAGATCAAAGAAGAAATTAAAAAATTTTTTGAATTGAACGACAAGGAGGACACTAATATCCTAAATGTATGGGATGCAGCAAAAGCAGTAATAAGAGGAAAATATATAGCAATAGAAGCTCACATCAAGAAACAAGAAAGAACGCAAAGAAACAACCTCATCTCGAAGCTCAAAGATCTAGAAAAAGAACAACAAAAAAACCCCAAAACCAGTAGAAGAAAAGAAATAATAAAAACCAAAGCAGAAATAAATGAAATTGAAACTAAAAAAACAATCCAAAAGATCAATGAAACCAAGAGCTGGTTTTTTGAAAAAATCAATAAAATAGACAAACCCCTAGCCAGGCTCACAAAGGAAAAAAGGAGAAAGCACAAATAAACAGGATCATCAATGAAAGAGGAGAAATCACAACGGACACAGCAGAAATCAAAAGAATAATCAGTAACTACTATGAACAGTTATATGGAAACAAGTTTAACAATCTAGAGGAGATGGACAAATTCCTACAACTCTACAATCACCCAAAGCTAGATAAAGAAGAAATAGAACACCTAAACAGACCATTACAATTAGCGAAATTGAAATGGTAATCAAAAACCTCCCCAAAAACAAAAGCCCAGGACCTGATGGATTTACAAATGAATTCTACCAAAGATTCAGAGACGAATTAGTGCCTATCCTTCACAAACTCTTCCAAAAAATTGAGAAGGAAGGGACAATACCAAACACGTTCTATGAAGCCAACATTACACTAATACCAAAACCGAACAAGGACAACACAAAAAAGAAAACTACAGGCCAATCTCCCTAATGAACACTGATGCAAAAATCCTCAATAAAATTTTAGCTATCAGAATCCAACAATGTATCCATAAGATAATTCACCACGACCAAGTTGGATTCATTCCAGGGGCACAAGGATGGTTTAACATCCGAAAATCAATCAACGTTATCCAACACATCAACAAAAAGAAATATAAAAACCATATGATAATATCAATAGATGCTGAGAAAGCTTTCGACAAAGTGCAACACCCATTCATGATAAAAGCCCTTGAAATTCTGGGGATACAAGGAACATACCTCAACATCATAAAGGCCATCTATGACAAGCCAACAGCCAGTATCATTCTCAATGGTGAAAAGCTGAAAGCAATTCCATTAAGATCTGGAACAAGACAAGGATGTCCACTCTCACCATTGCTTTTCAATATAATACTGGAAGTCCTAGCCAGGGCAATAAGACAAGAGAAAGACATCCAAGGAACCCAAATAGGAAAAGAAGAAGTCAAACTATCACTATTTGCAGACGATATGATATTATACATAGAGAACCCCAAAAACTCCACAGAAAAGCTAATTCAACTCATCAATCAGTTCAGTAAAGTGGCAGGATACAAAATCAACACGCAAAAGTCAGTAGCCTTCCTATACACAAACAATAAATCTGAAGAAGAAGAAATCAAAAAGACCATCCCTTTTGTTATTGAAACAAAAAAAATCAAATATTTGGGAATAAATCTAACAAAAGAGGTAAAGGACCTATACAAAGAAAACTATAAAACACTGTTAAAAGAAATAGAAGAAGACACAAAGAAATGGAGAGACGTCCCCTGCTCATGGATTGGAAGAATAAACATTATTAAAATGGCCATCCTACCAAAAGCAATATACAGATTCAATGATATTCCAATCAAAATTTCAATGTCATTCTTCAAAGAAATAGAACAATTATTGATGAAATTCATATGGAATCACCAAAAACCCCGAATAGCCAAAGCTCTCCTGAAAAAAAAAGAAGGGAATGGAGGCATCAGACTCCCAGACTTCAAACTATACTACAAAGCCATAATCATCAAAACTGCATGGTATTGGAACAAGAACAGACATACAGAACAATGGAATCGAATAGAAAATCCAGAAATAAACCCACAGATTTATGGTCAACTAATCTTTGACAAAGGAGCAAAGACTCTGCATTGGAGCAAAGAAAGTTTGTTCAATAAATGGTGCTGGGAAAACTGGGTCGCTACATGCAAAAGAATGAAGCTTGACCACCACCTCACACCATACACAAAAATCAACTCAGAATGGATTAAAGAACTAGACATAAGACCTGAAACCATAAAATATATAGAAGGAAATATAGGCGAAACACTACGTGATTTGCACATCAAAGACATCTTTACAGACACATCACCCAAAGCAGTGATAGTGAAGGCAAAGATAAACAGCTGGGACTACATCAAATTAAAGAGCTTTTGCACAGCAAAAGAGACAATAACAAAAACAAAGAGAAACCCCACCAACTGGGAGAACATTTTTGCACCCAACACTAATGATAAAGGACTGATCACAAAAATCTGCAAAGAGCTGATGAGACTCAACAACAACAAAGAAAATAATCCAGTCAAAAAATGGGCAGAAGAGCTTAAAAGACACTTCTCTGAAGAGGAAATGCAAATGGCCAACAGGCATATGAAAAAATGTTCAACATCACTTGTCATCAGGGAAATGCAAATCAAAACTACCATGAGATACCATCTTACACCAGTGAGAATGGCACATATTAAAAAAACTAGCAACAACAAATGTTGGCGAGGGTGTGGAGAAAAAGGAACTCTTCTGCACTGTTGGTGGGAGTGCAAACTGGTCCAACCACTGTGGAAAGCTGTATGGAGATTTCTGGACCTACTAAACATAGAGCTTCCATATGATCCAGCAATTCCACTCCTAGGTATTTACCCAAAGGACACAGAAACATCAATTCCAAAGAACACCTGCACCCCTATGTTTATAGCAACACTGTTTACAATAGCTAAGCTTTGGAAACAACCCAAATGCCCAAAAATAGATGACTGGATCAAGAAGATGTGGTACATATATACCATGGAATATTACTCAGCATTCAAAAAAGATAAACACATGCAATTTGCAGCAACATGGATGGCGCTGGAAGGGATCATGCTCAGTGAAATAAGCCAAAAAGAAAAAGAAAAATACCGGATGGTCTCACTCATAGCAGGAATCTAGAAAACTTAAATAAGGGACCAGGAAAATGAATAACTATAAGAAAGTGAAAATCAAAATCAACAAAAAACTATGAACCAGAGACCCTTTTAGGGGGGCGGGGGTGGGAGGGGAGGGATTGGGGTCAGAATGGGGGGGCTGCAATTGTATGGGGAATATAACAATAAAATTTATTAAAAAAAAAAAAAAGAAAAGAACATTACTTATAGTAAAAAAAAGATAAATTGTGATTGGAATATTGGTTATCCACATGCAAAATAATCAAATTATATCCTCATACTATAAACTATGGAAAAATTAACTCAAAGTATATTAAAGATATAAACATAAGTACCAAAACTACAAAATCCCTACACTAAAACAAAGAAAGGCTTCATAACTTTGGATTTCATAATGACTTTTGGATACTAAAAGAACAGGAAAGTAAGTAAACATAAACAAATGGGGTGATTCTCCTCTGGGATCTGCCCACACTCATTTTGGAGTATGTACTATCACCTACAATAATAAAGCTTCATTTCTAACTTATCTAAAAAAACCCAAAAACTTAAAACGTAAACACAAGCAGTAACAACACTGAACTGCTTGTAACATTTAAGTTTCAAAATCTAGGGCCTCCCTGGTGGCACAGCGGTTGAGCACTGCATTGCGAAGCCGCCAGCAGCCTCGGCAGTGCCAGTTCGATCCCCAGCCATCGGGTGAGGGTTCCACATGGCGTGTAGACCTCTCCTGCTGCCCACTGCTCCCCTCAGCAGTGTACTTCGTCAGTCTGCCTGCTCTGCTCTCCCCTCTGGCTCTGGTGGATTCTCTCACCCTCCTGTGCTTCTGACTGTACCCAGTGCTTGTATAAATAAATAAATAAATCTTAAAATAAATAAGTTTCAAAATCTGAAAAGAGAACACGTTATAAACATTTGTCAAAATAGAACGGTAGATACAATATATGTAATTTTGTTCCTTGAAGTGGACATTAGCTTTCAAAATATGATTAAATTACTTGAAAGATGGGAAAAAATACATACCAGAGCAATTCCTGCTGCAAACTTTGGATCACACACTTTTCCATGATAAATTGTTCCCACATGATTAAGATGGTCCCTATAACTAAATAATAATTGTTTTCTTGTGAATAAGTACATTTTAAATTATTAAGAACTCAATAAATTTTTAAAATTAAACTCAATAATTTTATGTTTTATTTAAAATATGATTACATTTCATGTGTACTGCTTTCAATCAGATTTCATTTGTGTAATCTCCCACAATACCTACAATGTTAAGTTCCAAAAGCTATTTTATTTATTTTTTTAATTTTATTTTATATATTTTTACATCATTTTTCACTTTTGCACAATTTATGTATTTTCATCTTAGTTATAGTCCCCACACAATTCCAACCCCCCTTATTTTGACCGTAATCCCTCCTACCCCCACCCCACATAGTGTGTCTCTGGTTTATAGTTGCTTGTTGATTTTGATTTTTACTTTGTATTAATTAGTCTTTTTCCTGGCCCCTTCTTTAGGTTTTCTAAATTCCTGCTATAAGTACAACCATCCAGTATTTTCTTCTTCTTTCTGGCTTATTTCTCTGAGCATGATCCCTTCCAGTTCCTTCCATGTTGCTGCAAATTGCATGAGTTTATCTTTTTTGATTTCTGAGTAATATTCCATTGTGTATATGTACCACATCTTCTTGATCCAGTCATCTGTTTTGGGGCATTTGGGTTGTTTCCATAGCTTAGCTATTGAAAATAATGCTGCTATAAACAAAGGGGAGCAGGTGCCCTTTGGAATTAATGTTTCTGTGTCCTTTGGGTAAATACCTAGGAGTGAAATTGCTGGATCATATGGAAGCTCCATCTTTAGCAGGTTGAAGACTCTCCACACAGCTTTCCATAGTGGTTGGACCAGTTTGCACTTCCACCAGCAATGCAGGAGAGTTCCTTTTTCTTCACAACCTCACCAACATTTGTTGTTACTAGTTTTTTAATATGTGCCAGTCTTACTGGTGTAAGATGGTATCTCTTTGTAGTTTTGATTTGCATTTCCCTGATTACAAGTGATGCTAAACATTTTTTCATATGCCTGTTGGCCATTTGCATTTCCTCTTTGGACAAGTTCCTTTTTTAGCTCTTCTGCCCATTTTTTGACTGGATATATTTACTTTGTTTTTGTTGAGCCTCTTCAGCTCTTTATAGATTTATCAGTCCTTTATCATTAGTGTTGTGTGCAAAAATTTTCTCCCAGTCACTGGGATGTCTGTTTGTTTTGGTTACTGTCTCTTTTGCTGTACAGAAGCTCTTTAATCTGATGTAGTCTCAGCTGTTTATCTTTGCCTTTGCTATCACTGCTTTGGGTGATGTGTCTGTAAAGAAGTTTTTGAGGTGCATGTCATGTAGTGCTTCGCCTATATTTCCTTCGCCTATATTTTACAGTTTCAGGTCTTATGTCTAGTTCTTTAATCCATTTTGAGTTGGTTTTTGTGCATGGTGTGAGGTAGTAGTCAAGCTTCATTCTTTTGCATGTAGTGACCCTGTTTTCCCAGCACCATTTATTGAGCAAACTTTCTTTGCTCCAGTGCATATTCTTTGCTCCTTTGTCAAAGATTAGTTGAACATAAATCTGTGGGTTTATTTCTGGATTTTCTATTTGGTTCCATTGATTGGTATATCTGTTCTTGTTCCAATACCATGCAGTTTTGATGATTATGGCTTTGTAGTATAGTTTGAAGTCTGGGCGTGTGATGCCTCCATTCCCTTTTTTTATTTTCAGGAGAGCTTTGGCTATTTGGGGTTTTTGGTGGCTCCATACAAATTTTATCAGTATTTGTTCTATTTCTTTGAAGAATATCATTGAAAAAAACTTTTTAAAGATTTATTTTTATTTATACAAGAACTGGAGTAGAGGCCAGATGCACAGGAGGGTGTGAGGAATGACCAGAGACAGAGCGGGGAACAGAACAGGCAGACTGATGAAATACACTGCTGAGGGGAGCAGCGGGTGAGACAGGAGAGGTCCTCTTGCCATGTGGGTTACTCCGAGGCTGGCAGGGATCAAACCAGCACTGCAGAGGCTGCGGACAGCTTCACAGTGCTGCGCTCAACTGCCTGCACCACCAGGGAGGCCCTCATTGCGATTTTTATTGGAATAGCATTGAATCTGTAAATTTGCTTTTGGTAGGATGGCCATTTTGATAGTGTTAATTCTTCCAATTCATGAGCAGGAGATGTCTTTCCATTTCTTTGTGTCTTCTTCTATTTCTTTTAACAGTGTTTTATAGTTTTCTTTGTATAGGTCCTTTACCTCTTTTGTTAGGTTTATTCTCAAGTATTTGATTATTTTTGTTTCAATAATAAAAGGGATTTTTTTTTTTATTTATTCTTCTTCCAATTGATTGTGTATAGGAAGGCTACTGATTTTTGTGTGGTGATTTTGTATTCTATCCTGCTAATTTACTGAACTGGTTGATTATTTTGAGTAGTTTTTCTATGGAGTTTTGGGGTTCTCTATGTATATTATTATATCATCTACGAATAGTGATAGTTTGACTTCTTCCTTCCCTATTTGCATTCCTTGTATGTCTTTCTCTTGTCTTATTGCTCTGGCTATGACTTCCAGTATCATATTGAAAAGCAGTGGTGAGAGTGGACATCCTTGTCTTGTTCCAGATCTTAATGGAAATGCTTTCAAGTTTTCACCATTGAGAATGATATTAGCTATAGGCTTGTCATATATGTCCTTCATGATGTTGAGGTATGTTCCTTGTATCCCGAGAATTTCAAAGGCCTTTATCACAAATGGGTGTTGATTCTTTGTCAAAAGCTTTCTCAGCATCTATTGATAAGATCATATGGTTGTTATATTTCTTTTTATTGATGTGCTGGATTGCATTGATTGATTTTTGGATGTTGAACCATCCTTGTGTCCCTGGAATAAATCCTACTTGGTCATAGTGAATTATCTTATGGATACATTGTTGGATTCTGATAGCTCAAATTTTATTAAGGATTTCTGCATCAGTGTTCATTAGAGAGATTGGCCTGTAGTTTTCTTTTTTGTTGTTGTTGTCCTTGTTTGGTTTTGGTATTAGTGTAATGTTGGCTTCATAGAACGTGTTTGGTAACCCTTCCTTCTCAATTTTTTGAAAGAGTTTATGAAGGATGGGCACTGATTTGTTTCTGAATGTTTGGTAGAATTCACTTGTAAATCCATCTGGTTCCAAAGGCTACTTTATATGATACATAGCACAGAAACCAGCAGTACCTAATTCTTCAGAAAAAAAATAATCACCATTGTTGACACCACTGAAAAGTTAGAATTGCTTACTACAATCATTTATAAATAGTAAGGAGTGCTTAAAATGTATGAAAAGTGTAGATACAATACATGAACAATAACAAGAGATAAAGTGATAGAACATGTACTAGGTTCATTGAAAAGGACAGGCAGGGTGTAGAAATTTTCCTTACACCTTTCACTCCTTTATAAAAGTTGCTCCTGAATCTGTAAACCTGACCTTAGATTCCAACTACTGGGGACACTATGGATTTATAAATGTTATGTCATATATCTGAATATCTTTAAAACTGTCTGCTTACTTTTCCATCTAAAATAATCAAAATATTAAAACATAAGTCTATATAACTCTTGAAATATATAATGCTAGTAATTATATAGTTACATCTTAGCGCAGTATCAAAAATCCAGAAGGTGACTGCAGAAACTGTTTTCTAATACATCCAGTTTTAAATTCAATCATTGGTGTCTATTAAATAATTTACATTTTATTTAATGTCAAAACGGCTTAATTATTTAACTCAGAAAATCTTTGAAAGCATAGCATCTATGTATATCCCAAGACTTTCTGTCTATTCCAGATAATTACATTTTCTATAGGTAAACAGTCAACTCTGAGAATAACAATCTCCCATGACTTAATAGCTTACATTGTATTCAGATTTTTATATTTTGAATTCACCAACTCAATATTCATACTATCATATTCAGGTGTCTTGCTATTATATATAATACAATTTATATATTATTTTGATGGCAAGTATATTAAAAAATTGTTAAACTCTATATCAATGTACATAAAAGACTTACATTAATAAGTATGCCATATGATTGGGCTTTTGAAACAAAACTTTTTCTTTCCATGACACAAATCTTTGTAGCACTTCATCAGCAGGCCCATCAGATGAAATCTTATTTTTATCAGACCAGATCTCCAAGGAAGACAGCATAACAGTCACATTAAGCTGGGAAAACATCTAAAACCAAAGAAAAAATAAAATGCAGTTTTATGTAATCAAATGGAACATTACATCTCTTTATGTATAATGCAATATATTCAAGTTGTATTTTGTGGAGATGGACTCTATTAGTAGATGAAACTAGTTGGTAGTACTTTTTATAAAAATGCAAATGTGATTTATATGAGCGGTATTACTATATTAAAAGAAAAGTATTTTTAAAATACATAACATACTGTAGAAATATTTTTTCCTGCTTGATAGGGTATATTTGCACTTTAATGATAAAATTATCACTAATGATAATTTTTCCTTTGATGGAGTTCCATTTGTTTATTTCTGCTTTTGTTTTCTTTTCAGTTGCAGTCTATTCCTCTAAGATATCTCTGAACCCAATGTTGTGGAGTATTTTGCATTTATTTTCTTCTTATGTATTTTATGGTTTCAGACTTTACACCCAACTCTTTTTCATTTTGAGTTAATTTCTGTGTATGATGTGAGACAGTGGTCTAGTTTCATCCTTTTGCATGTGGCTATCCAGTTTTTCCAACACCATTTGTTGAAAAGACTTTCCTTTCTCTTGAGTAAATTCTTGGTTCCTTTGTCATAAATTAGCTCTCCATAAAAGTGTGGGTTTATTTCTGGGCTCTCAATTCTATTTCATTGATCTGGAAGCCTATTTTGATTTCAATGTCATACTGTTTTTATTACTATTGTGTTGTTTTGTAGTTTGAAGACTAGAAGTGATTATGCTAAGGGAAATAAATCAGTAGAAGAAAGTCAAATACCAGATAATTTTACTCATATGTAAAATATAAAGATAGAAGACAGAGGAAGAGATAAAACCAAACCAAACCAATCCTTGAAATCTGATTTTCAGAACTGAGGCTGACAGGGTAGGGTAGAATAGGGAGGGTATCCAATGAACTATAGTGGAAGATTATTGGTGCTGTTGGTGGGCATGGTATGGTAATATATATCTAAAAAGATATGAACCTATACCCCTAAAACATATAGAGTATTGTGAACTAATATTAAGTCAATATATATAATTTAGTAAAAATTAAATATTTAACATACTTACGCTGTTGATAATACTAAAGATATGAGTAATTTTCTCAGTTGCAACTGCCACTTCAGCACCCATATAATCATACTGAAAGACAAATTTTATTTCATAATCAGTGGTGAAAATTATTCAAGTACTATATCTTAAATGAATGAAAATATAAAATGTTAAAGTAATGTAGTGCTCAAGTGAAAGGAAAAGGAAGAAATAAAATTTATCAAGTGCTTGTTAAGGTTTAGGCATGAACCTTTAGATTTATTTTTTTAACATCTCTTCTCTACCTCACCATAATGACTGTTTCATCCCTCTATCTCTCTAGACTGTTGATTCCTAAATGAAAAAGATTGTTTCTGATATATTTCTATATCATCAGACCCTTGCATATGATATTTGATAAAGGCCTTAGTTCCTGCTTACATTAAATATAACAAAAGCTACATTTTCTCATGCTGCTATGATCAGTTAAAATAAACAACCAGTTACTTGGAATATTCATCTTTAAATGGCTTATATGCCACTTACTATCAAAAACCTTCTAGGAAGGCCTCCCTGGTGGTGCAGCGGTAGAGAGCTGGTTCAATCCCTGGCTGCCAGTGAGGGTCCCACATGGCGCAACAGACCTCTCCTGTGGTGCCCACTGCTCCCCTCAGCAGTGTACGTCAGTCTGCCTGTTCTGCTCTCCGCTCTGGCTCTGGTGAATTCTCTCACCCTCCCGCGCTTCTGACTTACCCAGTGCTTGTATAAATAAATAAAAATCTTAAAAAAAAAAAAATGACCTTCTAGGAGCCCCCTATCCTATATAGTTCCTCTGATAAGATCTTCACTATGCTTTGCCATTTTTTTAACCAATTAGCTGAAGGCTTTTCTGATACAGCTTTTCTGAATACATATAATACATATGGATTCACTTCCATATTCATATTTTTAATCTTGATTTGCTTTTCATATATTTGGCCTTGCAAAGGACCACCCTCACTCATACCAAACATGCTGCATTATGCAAATTGTGATATGATTTATTAGTTACATACAGAGAAATAGCAAACTACAGCCTCTAAAGAGCTGGAAGGATAACATCTTTTTTATCTATATCAGAGAACTCTATTAATTTTATTTTCTAGGGCCTCCCCGGTGGCGCAGCGGTTAAGCGCTGGGTTGCGAAGCTGCCCGCGGCCTCTGCGGTGCCGGTTCGATCCCTGGCTGCTCCCCAGCCACCTGAGGAGGGTCCCACATGGTGCGACAGACCTCTCCTGCCGCCCGCTGCTCCCCTCAGCAGTGTGCTTCGGTCCTTCTGCCTGCTCTGCTCCCCGCTCTGGCTCTGGTGAATTCTCTCATCCTCCCGCGCTTCTGACTGTACCCAGTGCATGTATAAAAAACAAACAAACAAATAAATAATACATGCCTCTTTAAAAAAAAATATTTTCTACAAGGTGTTCCTTTGCAAGGCTGAATATATATAAAGTAAGTCAAGAGCAAAAATATGATTATGGAAGTGAATCCATATATATCAATAATCACAATCAATAAACCAAACACTAGATAAATGAAAAATACTATAAAAAATCCAGAAACAAAGAAAACAAAGGAGGAGACAAATAGCTGAGACTACATCAAACTAAATTCTATACACTAGAATAATCAAAACAATGAAACATCCTACTAAATGGGAGAAAATATTTTCACACCATACAATGGATAAGGGACTGATCTCAAAGATCTACAAAGAACTCATACAAATCAACAGAATAAAGCAAACAACCAAATTAAAAATAGGCAGAAAAGCTAAAAAAAACACTTCTCTAAAGAAGAAATGCAAATGGCCAACAGACATATGAAAAATGGTCAATATCACTTATTATCAGGGAAATGCATCAGGAGAGTATTCTAAACTTTCTAAATTTGTATATGACTAACAGAATACTAAAAATATATATAAAACAATTAATTTGAACCATGATAGAAATTGCCTATCATAGTAAGAGATTTTTTGCACAGTTCTCTTGACCACTAATAGCTGAAGAGAGAAAATGACAACACAGATAAATCAAGTCTTAAAAGATCAAGTAAACTTTAGACACAATATGCACATACAAAAGTTTATATAAAACAAAAATACATATAGTATATATAAATATACTTCAAATATGCTATCCAATATTTGTGATCCTTGGTTTTTTTTTTTTTGATTTATTGATTTATTTATTTATACACGCACTGGGTACAGTAAGAAGTACGGGAGGGTGAGAGAATTCACCAGAGCCACAGTGGGGAGCAGAGCAGGCAGACTGATGAAGTACACTGCTGAGGGGAGCAGCAGGTGGCAGGAGAGGTCTGTCGCGCTATGTGGGACCCTCACTGGCGGCCAGGGATCGAACCGGCACTGCAGATCCTGTGGGTAGCCTCGCAGCCCAGACCGCAACTGCTGAGCCACCAAGGGAGGCCTTGATCCTTGTTTTTTTGACAAATAGTATTGTTCCACATCTAACAACAGCAACAATGAAAATCTAAATGCCCCCAGAAGTCATTAGTTAGTAGATTAAATTACATTAAAATATTAATCGAACACATTAAGCATTAAAAGTAAATTGAAATAATATATTCCATTAATATGAGGGAACATCATAAAATGGTATAAAATGTGTATGTAATATCTTTCATGATACTAATATAAATATATGACTCTATGTACATGGGATTATATATACACACATATAAACAGGAAATGAATGCATATATTTAATATATATATTTTATTATTTTATCCATCCATTCTTTGTTACTGTTTTAATAAAAATTGTACAAAGATCTAAATATTTTCATTTATGAACAAACTCTATGACATTATGATGTTCATTGACAGACTGTGCAAAAATATCAGTGATGATGGACAAATGAGCTTTATAAACTTGCTGCCCATAAGATGTTGCTAAAGCTGATTGCATTAACAAAAATTTCCAAAACCAAATGAAAATTTCCCATGAATAAGTCATCCCATTTTATAAAAAAACTTTAAAATATAAAACATATAAAATAACCTTATAAAAGAAAACATTTGATAACAAGCATCTCCATTTGAGTTATAAGTTCATAACTTGCTTTAAAATGGAAATCAATTCAAGGAAAAGAGTTTCATCACAATTTGACATGGATTCAGATAGCTATAATCCAATACATTAGAGTATACACTAAAATACATGCATTCATACAAAGTTATATATTATTGCTAGAATTTTATTCCAATTTGGAAATCAATACCATAAATATTTGTTATTCTTTTGTCAATGCAGAGGCAACTGACATTTCCTTATGTCCTGCTATATTGAGATATGTATTTTGAATACAGTAAAATGTACCTGCACTGCAAACAATGGACATTCACTTTTCATATTACCTTTGAATTGAAATAGAAAACAAAGACATGATAAGATGTTTTAATAATACATACCAAGGCTTTATCCATAATGACTTGTATTTTCAGAATTCTTTTCAGTAATGCAACATCTGAATGTTTCTGTGAAAGAGGCCATGGATTCAAAAAACCATTAAAATATTCTCACACTGTAATTATCATGTACTTACACACATACACACACATAGAAGTATAGATTAGGTAGAAAGATGACAGGTGAATAGATGATAGATGGAAGATGAAGATACATAAAGATACAGACATAACAGGGAAGAGGACGGATGACACTGCATAAATGATTGAGATTCCAAATAAAAATATTAAGAACAAATAAATGATTTTATCCTATAGCATTGAACATTAGCATTCTCAAAAATATTGCTAAGAATTCATCTGTGCTGTTCTATTTAGTAATTCATTAGTTTTCATAGCTATAACATTGGCCATTTTAGAAATACATCACAATTTATTCATACATTTGCCTGGGGATGGTCAATAGAATTATTTAGATGTTAGGTATTATACACGAAAATATGAGTATCTATGTTCAGGACTGTGTGCAGCTATAGTCTCATTTTTCTTGGAAAATACTTAGAAGTGTAATACATTGAGCTACATGTCAATTGTGGGTGTGTTAAGTCATGTGAATGTGCCAAATCTCTCCCTAAGGTAATGTGATCATTCTGCAATTTCAACCAAAATTATGAGTGTCAATCGCTCTACATTCTTGTCATTCTTGTTGGTCTGTATTGCTATCTTAGGCAGATGGCAGTTCCTTGAATATTAATGGTGTTGAACACCTTTTCACATGCTTGTAGCTCTTTAATTTGGTTTCTCCAACTCCCTACTAGGAATTTTATGCTTACACCTGTCATTAGATTTTTTGAATAACAGATAGAGAGGGGGAAGGAGAGGGATCAAAACATGGGAGGGAAGACTACAAGAGATTATGATGACGGTTCAAGGGTGTCTCAGGGGTGGTAATTTTATGAGGATTACACCTGAGAGGAGAATGAAAGACTATGTAAAAAGTAAATATAAAAATTTTTTTTGAATAAGGGCCAAGATTCATTTCATTACTAATTGATATGCAATTTTCTAGCTTCATTTGTTGAAGAGATCATTCTTTAACCTTTCAAAGCCCTTTAAAATGAGGGTCAAGTAAGATTGTGGCAGAAAGAAAACACTAGTCTCCCCAGCTCTATATATTCACAACTAAACTGTAGCAGAGTAAAAAACAACTCCTGAAAGACAAAGGCATGACTACCACATACATCAGGAGCAAGTTTCAGCAGAAAAGGGTAAGAAGAACTGTAACTGAACTGTGCTTGCAGCCACATTGGGTGAGAAAACCCAGAAGCAGCAGGGGGTGGCTGCTATATAGAGCCCCTCTGCTGTTGTTGACTCAGGGGCACATACCCATATCAAGTACTTTGGAGATTTGGCACTGCATTGGGGAAGGAGGTGCACAGAGTTGGCATGCAAGATAGAGGGCGCATGACCAGAGAACGTGATGAATAGAGATGCAGAGTAACAGCTATTGGCTTGAGTCTGAGGCTACCAATATAGCATAGCTGGAGCCCAAACCTGTCGGGAGAGCCAAAGTCAGGTCAAATCACCTGCGTCTTGTCATAAAAGAGGCTACTATTTGCAGGCTAAGGTTGTGATATTTGCAATCTAGTTACACTTATAACTAGATATAAGAAAATAATTGGAACAAATACTTTAAAATTCTAAGAGTACTATGTTATCTCTATACTTTATTTTGGACAACTTCTTGATCTTTTCTACTTTTAAATATTCTATCACAATACTTTCTTTTTTAATATTTTATTTTATATAATTCTTACATCATTTTTTATTTTTGCACAATGTATGCATTTTCATTTTGGTTATATTCCCCATACAATTGCACCTCCCCCCTTATTTTGACCCTAATCCTTCCTCTTTCCTCCCTCTCCCACCTCGCCACAGTGTGTCTCTGGTTTATAGTTGCTTGATGATTTTGATTTTTACTTTGTATTAATTAGTCTTTTTTCCTGGCCCCTTATTTAGGTTTTCTAAATTCCTTCTATAAGTGAGACCATCTGGTATTTTTCTTTTTCTTTCTGACTTACTTCTCTGAGCATGATCCCTTCTAGCTCCATCCATGTTGCTGCAAACTGCATGTGTTTATCTTTTTTGATTGCTGAGTAATATTCCATGGTGTATATGTACCACATCTTCTTGATCCAGTCATCTATTTTTGGGCATTTGGGTTGTTTCCATAGTTTAGCTATCATAAATAGTGCTGCTATAAACATAGGGGAGCAGGTGCCCTTTGGAATTGATGTTTCTGTGTCCTTTGGGTAAATACCTAGGAGTGGAATTGCTGGATCATATGGAAGCTCTATGTTTAGTAGGTCCAGAAATCTCCACACAGCTCTCCATAGTGGTTGGACCAATTTGCACTCCCACCAACAGTGCAGGAGAGTTCCTTTTTCTCTCCATTCTCGCCAACATTTGTTGTTACTAGTTTTTTTAATATGTGCCATTCTCGCTGGTATCTCATTGTAGTTAAGATGGTATCTCATTGTAGTTTTGATTTGCATTTCCCTGATTACAAGTGATGTTGAACATTTTTTCATATGCCTGCTGGCCATTTGCATTTCCTCTTTGGAGAAGTTTCTTTTTAGCTCTTCTGCCCATTTTTTGACTGGATTATTTTCTTTGTTTTTGTTGAGTCTCATCAGCTCTTTGTAGATTTTTGTGATCAGTCCTTTATCATCAGTGTTGTGTGCAAAAATTTTCTCCCAATCAGTGGGGTTTCTCTTTGTTTTAGTTTTTGTCTCTTTTGCTATGCAGAAGCTCTTTAATTTGATGTAGTCCCAGCTGTTTATCTTTGCCTTTACTATCACTGCTTTGGGTGATGAGTCTGTAAAGATTTTTTTTTTAAAGATTTATTTATTTATTTATTTATTTATTCATTTATTTATTTATTTATACAAGCACTGGGTACAGTCAAAAGCACGGGAGGGCAAGAGAATTCACCAGAGCCAGAGCGGGGAGCAGAGCAGGCAAAAGGACCGAAGTACACTGCTGAGGGGAGCAGCGAGCGGGCGGCAGGAGAGGTCTACGCGGCATGTGGGACCCTCCTCTGGTGGCTGGGGACCAGCCGGGGATCGAACCGGCGTTGCAGAGGCTGCGGGCAGCTTCGCAACCCAGCGCTCAACCGCTGTGCCATTGGGGAGGCCCTGTAAAGATGTTATTGAGGTGCATGTCATGTAGTGTTTTGCCTATATTTCCTTCTATATATTTTACGGTTTCAGGTCTTATGTCTAGTTCTTTAATCCATTTTGAGTTGGTTTCTGTGCATGGTGTGAGTTAGTAGTCAAGCTTCATTTTTTGCATGTAGCAACCCAGTTTTCCCAGCACCATTTATTGAGCAAACTTTCTTTGCTCCTGTGCATATTCTTTGCTCCTTTGTCAAAGATTAGTTGAACATAAATCTACAGGTTTATTTCTAGATTTTCTATTTGGTTGCATTGGTTGGTGTATTTGTTCTTGTTCCAATACCATGCAGTTTTGATGATTATGGCTTTGTAGTATAGTTTGAAGTCTGGAAGTGTGATGTCTCCATTCCTCCTTTTTTTTTTTTCAGGAGAGCTTTGGCTATTTGGGGTTTTTGGTGATTCCATATGAATTTCATCAATAATTGTTCTATTTCTTTGAAGAAAGTCATTGAAATTTTTATTGGAACAGCATTGAATCTGTAAATTGCTTTTGGTAGGATGGCCATTTTGATAATGTTAATTCTTCCAATCCATGAGCAGGGGATGTCATTCCATTTCTTTGTGCCTTCTTATATTTCTTTTAATGGTGTTTTATAGTTTTCTTTGTATAGGTCCTTTACCTCTTTTATTAGGTTTATTCCCAACTATTTGATTTTTTTTGTTTCAATAATAAAAGGGATTTTTTTTATTTCTTCTTCTTCAGATTTATTGTTTGTGTATAGGAAGGCTACTGATTTTTGCATGTTGATTTTGTATCCTGCCACTTTACTAAACTGATTCATTAATTAGTTTTTCTGTGGAGTTTTTGGGGTTCTCTATGTACATTATCATATCACCTGCAAATAGTGATAGTTTGACTTTTTCCTTCCCTATTTGCATTCTTTGTATATCTTTCTCTTGTCTTATTGCTCTGGCTAGGACTTCCAGTGTATATACTGAAAAGCAGTAGTGAGAGTAGACATCCTTGCCTTGTTCCAGATCTTAATGGAAATGCTTTTAGCTTTTCACCACTGACAATGATACTGGCTATGGGCTTGTCATATATAGTCTTTATGATGCTGAGGTATATTCCTTGTATCCCAAGAATTTCAAGGACCTTTATCATAAATGGGTGTTGCACTTTGTCGAAAGCTTTCTTGGCATCTATTGATATTATCATATGGTTTTTATATTTCTTTTTGTTGATGTGTTGGATAACATTGATTGATTTTTGGATGTTGAACCATCCTTGTGTCCCTGGAATGAATCCTACTTGGTCGTGGTGAATTATCTTATGGATACATTGCTGGATTCTGATAGCTAAGATTTTGTTGAGGATTTTTGCATCAGTGTTCGTTAGGGAGACTGGCCTGTAGTTTTCTTTTTTTGTGTTGTTCTTGTTCGGTTTTGGTATTAGTATAATGTTGGTTTCATAGAACGTGTTTGGTATTATCCCTTCCTTCTCAATTTTTTGAAAGAGTTTGTGAAGGATAGGCACTGATTCGTTTCTGAATGTTTGGTAGAATTCACTTGTAAATCCATCAGGTCCTGGGTTTTTTTTTTTGGGGGGGGAGGGTTTTGATTACCATTTCAATTTTGCTGCTTATAATTGGTCTGTTTAGGTGTTCTATTTCTTCTTTATCTAGCTTTGGGTGATTGTAGAGTTGTAGGAATTTGTCCATCTCTTCTGATTGTTGAACTTGTTTGCATCTAACTGTTCATAGTAGTTTCTGATTATTCTTTTGATCTCTGTGTCTATTGTGATTTCTCCTCTGTCATTTGTGATCCGATTTATTTGTGCTTTCTGCTGTTTTTCCTTTGTGAGCCTGGCTAGGGGTTTATCTATTTTATTTATTTTTTCAAAGACCAGCTTTTGATTTAACTGATCTTTAGGGTTGTTTTTTTAGTTTCGATTTCATTTATTTCTGCTTTGATTTTTATTATTTCTTTTCTTCTACTGGTTTTAGGGTTTTTTTGTTGTTCTTTTTCTAGTTCTTTGAGCTTTGAGATTAGGTTGTTTCTTGATGCTATCACAATACTTTTGACAGAGAAAAAAATGTATTGGAAGGCAAAGCTTACAAGGACAGAATTGGCCATTTCAGGTATCATATTAGTAACATGCACATTTAGTAACAACACTATTCTGTTTATATACATAAAATACTTGCAATTAATGAACTATGAGAATTTTGATTTTTGAATTATGCATGATTCTATTATATTTACTAAATATGATATGAATAAACATAAAAATGCATGTAACATTAATCTCTTAAAATAGAACTTGAATATAATAGAAAGTAGTTTCAATTTGTTTTCCAAATACAATAAATGTCAATGTCAGCAAGTTTATTAAAAGTATCAAAATGAAGATGTCATAAAATATATTACTTACTTCTGATTTTACAAAAATTCTATAGGGCTCATCTGCCAACTCAGCCCTAGGGTAATTTTCTTTTAAGTAAGGGAAATCAATTTTATTATTTATTTGATAAAGCATATGCTCATATGTAGTTGCAAATTCCAATGGTTCAATTCCATAACTGACATTCTCCAACTGCAATAATCCCCTGAATGTATAAATACCAAAAAAAGAGAAATTAAATAGTAATAATGTAGAATTCCCACTAGGAAATGTAAATTGAGAAAAATAAAAACCATTTTATAGAAATTCAAGAGTTCTATAAAAATTGAAGGGTAATTTTTATGGTATAATACCTCAGAAGCTTCCCATCTTGTATTAACTTTCAGCTGAATTTTATGCATTCTCTTTCTATATGGCATTTAGTAGTCATAGTGTTGAAGCTGGGCGAATGAATACAAATATTTGCTGTGTTAATGGGAAGCTTCTGAAGTATTTTCTGCAAATATTCTGCAAATTTTCTGAGGTTATTTTCTGCAAAAAATTATAACTACAACCATGGGATAAAGAGAACAGAAAAATGATAAGAAAAAGTAGAAAAGAAAGTATATGACAAGAAAAACCATCTAAGTATAGTCTCTTTGCTTTAACTCTACTCTTCAAAAAGTTTCTAAAAAATAAATGGATATTTAAGATTTTCAGTCTAACGTCATGGATTATGCCATTACCTAAGTCCCGAACAGATGCTAAGGGTCACAACTGATTCTCGAATCTCTGCAACATATCCTTGATAAAAGCAGTGACCCTAACAAAAGTATATAAAGATATATTCATGAATAATTCATAAATAAAATTTCCATTTTATCCTTACTTCCTAGACATCATTAAACATTCCGATTTACCCATTATCATATTATTCACCATATATTCTATTTCATTGTTGTATATATGCTATCTCTTCCTTTCAACTCTTTTTCTGCATATGAATAATCATGATACCTACCCTGCTCCAAATAACTCTTGCTATAATTCTAAATATTTGACAGACAACTTTCTTCATTGCGTCTTTTCTCAGCTACATTTTTGAATGCATAGTCTATTACTACTGACTTATGTAATCAAGATCATTAATTTAACTTCAATTGTGAACATTCTACTTGTTTTCTAAGTTACCGAAAAGTATATTAACTTTTTTGTAAACATTATTTTATTTTCTTAAAGCTAAATTACCCAGAAGTATCTTAAATGACATTTCCTCATGTTTGTTTCTCTTTAATATTTCACTATATTAGTCACCTTTAGTTAATACTCCCCTGTTCATGAACTTTATTGTCATTTGTTTCCCCATGTTCTCCCTTAATATTTTCTTTCTAGTGAGATATAGAATCAGTTCTATTCCTTTGATAATCCTGTGCTATGAAAACTCCATATCAAAACTTTCTGCCAAATTTATTTATATATTATTAGTTCTCAGACATATATCTCCATCAGTAACCACTTGCTATTTCTCAAAACTAAACTTAAAACCTGTCTCCCACCCGTGACAGTGCAGAGCATATTCTGTTGTATGTCATAAATAATCACAGCTGCTTGTACCTACTCTACTGACACTATAGCAATTCCTTCTCAAAAGAGGCAGGATGCAAAGCAGATCACAACCTTTTACTCAGCAGCAGATATCAATTTAGACTTTCCAACTCCTAGACTTCCACCCAGTGGGATATCATGAGATGTCCCTCAACACTCCCAAGTCCAAGTAGCAAAAATCCAACTTCCACAGTAGGAGCTTGCCTAATCTAGAGGCACTAGAAGAGAGACTGAGAAACACACTGGCATCCAGTGACAGAATGACAGTGAGAGAAAATGGTGTCCATTCACTGGATCCTTTATCACCCCAAATGATCTAGCAATACAAGGTTGGCCAGGGAAGTACATTTTACCTGCACAAGAATTAAGCATACAAGAGTAGTATTAAAACTCCAAGATAGCTAAACTGTCAGTGGAACAAGAGATAACCCTGAACCTGAACTTTAACTTGGTTACTCCCTTCAAAAATAAGATATAAATTTCAAGGATAGAATTGAAATTTGCACTCTGTACCAAGAATCAAGAAAATCACAAGAGTGAAAAAAGATAACCAAGTGATCCTAGTACTGAAATGAGCAACATATTGAATCATCAAACAGCAAATATAAAGCAAAAATAAAATCAAAAAAAGAGAAAAAAAAAAGAAAAAATAAAGAAAAAAGAGAATTTAAAGCAACTGAGATAAAATTGCTTCAATGAACAACTATAGAGTATTAAAATAGTAATATATAAATGAATCAAATCAAGTCTATATACACCTTAAACTGATACAGTTGTATGTTAATTATATATCAATTTAAAACATCCCAGAAATTAATTGAAATAAACAGTGGTTGAAAACACCCAAAACAACAGAATTGATATCCAAACTTAAAGAGCCAAAGACAACAAAAAAATTTATACTGACCCATATTATAACCAAATTGTTAAAAGTTTAAATGTAAGGAGAAAATTTTAAAAACAGCAATTAAAGATACTCATCACATATAATGGAACACCTTTAAGGTTTTCCTTTGAAGCAAGGCAAGAATTTCTAGGTAATCTTTGTCCAAGAGTCTATCTTAACAGCAGAAGCTAGCAAAAGTCCCAATGTTGCTTTGCTCCCCAGAGGAACATCTAAGTTAACTAATGGAATGCCACATATAGAGAATCCTGTGACTTGACACAATACTGAATCACCTCTGGGATATCAGAAAGCAGAGAGAATGCACCAGAAGGGACACAGAGGGGATTCATGCTTCATTGAACAGGAGGTTGCTGGAGATGAATAGCGCTTATTTTCTTGTAAGACACAGAGTTCTAAATTGCCATAATAAAGAAAAAAATGCAAAAAAAAAAAAAAAAACAACCAAGTCAAAGGATACAGGGGAATGCTGAAAAGGTAAACAGAGATAAGAAATATTCATAAAGCAAATGAATATTATGACAAATATAGTTAATGAAAAGAAAATAGAAAATGAAGTTTTAAGAGGAAAATAATGGAATTGCAGGATATTAAAAGCTCAATAGAGAAGATAAAAAATTATGAAGAAAGCTACGGAAAGAGACTAGACTGAGCGGAGGACTGAAATGGTGACCTTGAAAATAATTCACAAAGGGCCCAGGTGGAAGAAGAAAGAGAAATATGAAGAAGAAAAATGAAGACATCTTCATTTGAAACAATTAGGAAATGCAACATAAGGATAATGGCTATTCCAGAAGGGGACCATAAAGAGAAAGGAACAGAGATTTTACTCAAAGAAATAATAGAGGAAAATTTCCCAAACCTTGGAAAGAACTAAATTAGAAGTCACAAAGAAATAGAAAGATATTCCCAGCTCATGGACTGGAAGAATTAAAACTGTTAAAATGACCATCTTACCAAAAATACAGATTCAATGCCAACTCTATCAAAGTTTAAATGGCATCCTTCAATCAAATGGAACAAACATTATTGAGATTCACATGAATTAGAGAAACAATACCCAGAATAGCCCAAGTAATCATGACAAAAAAGAAATACTGGTATCTCACTCTCAGACTTCAAACTTTACTATACAGCTATTGTAATCAAAACATTTAAAAAAAATAGGGAGACCAATGGAATATAATTAAGAGCTAATAAATCAATTAAAATATACATAGAGATTTAATCTACAACAGAGGAGTGGAAGTATACACTGGAGAAATATGTTTCTTAAAAAGCTATGTTGGGTAAACTGAATAGCCACATATAAAAGAATAAAAATAGACCACTATTTCACACTACCTACAAAAATCAGATGAAAATGAATAAAGAATTTGGATATAAGGGTTAACACCATAGAACACACAGAAGAAAACATAGGCAATGACTTTAGTGATATATTTAGCGACTTAACTCCTACAGCAAACAAAAAAAAAAATCAAGCAAAACAGATGAAACTACATCAGACTAAAAAGCTTATACAGAGCAAAAGAAACTACAGTAAAACAAAGACACCTTATCAGATGGAAGAAAATATTGTACATCATAACATCTGACAAGAGCATAATATCCCACATCTACAAACAACTCATCGAAAAGTAACAACCCACCAAAAAAAAAAAAATGGGCAGAAGATCTAAATAGACATTTCTCCAAGGAAGACACATAGATAGCCCATGAAAAAAATGTTCATCATCACTTATCATCAGGGAAATGCAAGTCACAATTACAATGAAACACCTGCAAGAATGACCCATATCAAAAAGACCAGAACAAGTGTTGGTAAGCAAGTGGAGAAGAACAGAAGCTTGCACAACACTATCGGTATGAATATTGACTTTTCAAGCCCCATGGAAAATAGCACAGGTGATTCTCAAAGTATTGAAAATAGATCTAGCATAGGTCTACCCAAAGAATGCACAAACTCTAATTCAAAGTGATATATGCACTCCTATGTTCATTGCAGCACTATTAACAATACCCAAATTATGAAAATAACCTAAGTGAAAATAAGCAAATGGGTATTTTAAGGCATGGTATATATACTTAAATGAATATTACACAATTATAAAAATAGATTAACTCTTGCCATTTGCAATAACATGGATGGAACTCGAGGGGATTATGCTAAATGCAATGCGTGAAATATGGCAGAAGGAAACAACTACCATATAGGCATACCACAACCCCCAATAATGAAGCAGCAGAAGAGGGACATAGGGAGGCACAGCTGAGTGGAGAATCAGTAGTGAAAAGTGTTGCAGAAAACATGCCAGAGTAGGAAAGTTTGATTTTAACTAATAAACTAATAAAATATTAGAAGAACAGAGTGGATATATTTGAAAATTAAAAACTCCAAGGTACACTTCATGGGTTCTCACAATTTTGTGAAATTTACCTCCAGGAGTTTGACCAGGAGGCTACATTAAATATTGGGGGCTGGGGGAATCTACTCAAGCTCCCATCAGGGTAGAGAGCAAAGAACTATTTTGAAAAATCTAAGACACCTCGGCTTTCGGGAAGCTGCATGATTAGAAACTAACTTGCTAAACTATGATCAGAACCTCTCTAGAGGAGGAAAATACTAACTATAGCCCATTCTAGTCCATTCTGTCCCACATCCCTTTGGCGGGATTTAAATAAAAGCTGAGAAGTACATGTGAAGTTCATAGTCCAGAGGCATAAGTTTAATTAAAAACTGAGAATTACAACACTAAAGAACACGTCTCCCAATCCTATATACTGTTACCGTGTTGCTAAAGGCAAGCTTAAAGCAGTTCCATTTACCCAGTACATTATGTCTAGTTATCAAGAAAAAAAAAATTGTGTTAGGTATTTCAAAAGGCATACACACAAGTTGAAGAGACAGAGCAAGTATCAGAACCAGATACTGAAGATTTTAGAATTACCAGACTGGGCATTTAAAACACCATAAATTATTCTAAGGACTGGAATAAAAACCATTCAGGAAGAACAGATGGGTAATAAAGTAAACAGAAAAATGGAAATCTTAAGAGTGAACCTGAAAGTGATGCTAGAGTTAAAATAGTACCTGTAACAGAAATAATATTTAATATATCACATGATATATTAAAACTTCTCAGTGTGGGGCCTCCCTGATGGTGCAGGGGATTGGGACGCAACCTACAAGGCTGTCTGCAGCCACTGCAGCACGAGTCCGATCCCTGGCAGGGGAGCTACCTACATGGCACAGCAGATCTCTCTTGACTGACCCACTGCTCCCCTCAGAAGTGTATTTCAGTCATTCTGCCTGTTCTGTTCCCCACTCTGTCTCTGGTGAATCCACACACACACACACACACACACACACACACACACACACCCCTCTGGCCTGTACCCCAGTTCTTGTACGCATAAATAAATAAATCTTAAAAAAAAACTTATCAGTGTGTTTAACAACTTATTTCTTTTGAAAACTATTTTTCCTTTCATCTCAAAATCCTACTAATACTTCTAGTTAGTTTAAATGACTTTTTTTGATAAATGATTCCTGTGTAAAAATTTTAAAAAGAGCTGTTCTATCCACTATGTGTTCTTAGTATTTGATAGTTCTGTAGAGTATAAAGAATTTTTTTCTTCCCACCAATACCTTAGCCACATTAAAAAACATGTAAATCTCCAAGACTTACCTTCACAAATGGAGACTGTGTATATAATATTCCTGATTTGTTGTATAAATACACAAGAAAATGAGAGTCTAAAAATGACCTAATTCAACCAAAAAAAGATGTTATTGTAATAATATAATGAATAAAATTAACTTCCATAATCATTAAATTAAGCAAAATTTACTTTAAATTTTCCAAGTTTAAACACCCCAAAATTAAATAGAGTCATCCTTCCATTATCTTTGTTTCCTGATAGTATATTGTGTATAGAAGAACAAATAGCCAGTATAACCAGATATTGGTATGAATGCTGTCATGATACAGACCTATATCTGGTACAAATCAAGATTTCCTGATTTTCACAGAAACATTTCCCTTGAGATTCAGTCATTAATCTCATGCACAAATATGTTAGTTAAATTGGCTAATAAGGAGTCCTGGATTCATAGAAACAAGAAGAAAATATATGGTTTTTCATTAGTTTTCATGAATTTCTGTTGTGCCATAAAACACAATGAATGTTATTAACAAGTTTACCCTAAGTTCAGCTGTACTCAGCCTTCATGTGGAGTTGGGAAAAGGCATGAACCCTCCCTAGAATGTGTCTTTCTTGTAGAGAAAGAAAGGAAAATATTGTAGAAGAATACCACACTTCTTAAAGTATTTTTGTGGGGAGGGGACAGGATATTAGTGTTTTACTTAAATTTCATAAGTTAAATGATTTTCATATACAAACCTGTTATGAATAGGTTATGAAAGCATAAAATTATTATGGAAGAGATAGTGATTTTTATGGAATATTTGACACCATCATTTATTATAGGAAGGCTATAATAACTCAAGGATTCCAAATACCAAAGACATTTCAAGGTTAGAATCAAAGAGGAAATATATCATTCACTCTCTTTAACTATGACATCTGTTTACACATCTGCTTTATTTTCTCTTTTTCTGGATAACTTATCTTTTTCTTAAATTCAAAAATCAAGATTGGAGAGCTTCCCAGAGAAAATCTGATATTCATAAGTTCATATCTGCATATATTCAAGGAAAAGCACTGAATGGTATGGGCTGATTTAGGTACAAATGCCTGGAAAGTGAATTCTAGCACAAGGGCAGAGATATGTTTTAATTACCATACGCAAGTCAATGGAGATGGTGGAATAGGGAATCCAGACACAGTTCCCAAGAAAAACAAATTAGAAACTGAAAAATTAAAGAAAAACATCAAGAACAATTAAAATGAGAAAATTTAATTTGCAAGTTTATTACTCTGGGCTTTCAAGTTTATCTATGTTGTTGCTTTTATAGGAAACAACAAAACAGTCTGGCTTAACTAGGTAAGCATAAAAATACAATAGACTGTCAAAGAAAAACAATATCCAATATAAAGAAAATGAACAACGAAAAGGGAGAAGGCAGCACTTAAAATTTAGTTCCCTATGGAGTAATACTGATTAAAGAAAATAATCATCATTTCAAGAAAAGTTAAACTTTCAAAGGAGCTAATTTAAAGTAAAAAGTATATTATCAAACTGAATTACATGATGTTGAAATTAAATAACTGGATAAATGTGCCAAGGGTAATTTGATTACTAAAGAAATTAGATGGTAGTCTATAAAGAGAATATATAATGATAACTAAACAGCAAAAGTAAAGACTTGGAAATTATTATAGGAAAAAAAAACGATATAGAGGGCAAAATAGTAAAGCCCAGAATGAAACAAAGATTTCCCATAGAACAAATATATGTATAAGAATTTTAAACTATAAAGAAAAATTAAAAGAGACTTATGGCACCAGGGAAAATTAATACATCACATCACACACACACACACACACACACACACAAGCATGCATGCATGAACACACACAAAACATATAGAAAATTCAGTGAAGATGGACTATAATAAACTCAAATATTTATGGAAAAACAATAAGATGCACAAATTGTACACACTGACAATATGTCATTCAATATGACAAAAGACCAACTTGAAGCTATGTCCAGATTCAGAAAGCATGTAGTGTACATAGTTGATCTAACAAAATAATCCAAAATTATTATAACTATACAATACCTTATTCCACATAAAATTGCAAGAAAAGGAAAAATAAAAATGCAGCAGTGTTAACTAATAAAACCAACTCTGATAACATTTAGAAAATGCATTATAGTTGTTTCACAGTGAAAGTGAAACTTGGATTTACATCTTAGATATAAAAAGAAAATTTTCAAATACTTGTAAGAACAATGTAACATACATTTAGGATGCAGGAAACATAATCTGGTTTAGAGTCTAGACTCTGGGACTGATCTCTTCATTCCACTTTTATTTTTGTCAAGATTGCTTTAACTATTTGGTGTCTTTTGTTGTTCCAGACAAGTTTCAGTAATATTTTCTCTATTTCTTTGAAGAATTCCATTGAAACTTTGATAGGGACTGCATTGAATCTATATATTGCTTTGGGTAAGATGGTCATTTCAACACTCTTTATTCTTCCAAACCATGAGCATGGAAGATCTTTCCATTTCCTTATGCTTCTATTTCTTGTAGTAATGACTTATAGTTCTCATTGAAAAGGTCTTTCATGTCCTTTTTAGTTTTATTTTTATGAATTTGTAATTTTTGATGTTACTATAAATATGATCACTTTCTTGATTTCCTTCTCTTCCAGTTATTTGCATTTAGGAATGCAGATTTTTGACATCTCAAAAATGCAGAGCATAATTCAAGAAACTAGTATTAACATTTACATGTGAGTTAATTAGATAAATTAGAATAAAAGAACATTTAGTAGCCCACATCCTTCCAAGACTGAATCAAAAGGAAATAAAAAATCTCAATAGATGAATTACAAGCAAGGAAATTGAAACCGTAATCAAAAGTTATCCAAAAACCAAAACCCAGACTAAATATTTCACAAGTGAGTACTATCAATTCTTCAAATATGAATTATACCTCCACTGCTTAAAATCTTAGAAAAAACTGAACATCAGAAAATGATTCCAAACATATTAGACCAACATTACTCTGATATCACAAGGAAAAAAGGACATTACAAACTAGTAAAACTGCCAGCCAATAGCTCTGATGAACATAGCTGTAAAATTCTCAACCAAATCTTAGCAACCAAATTCAACAATACATTCAAAGATTCATACATCATGACCAGGTGGGATTTATACACGGAATAAAGGATCCTTCAATATCTGCAGATCTATGAAGTTAATTTACCACATCAACAAAAGGAAAGAAAAAAGTCATGATCATATCAATGAAGCAGGGAAAGTATTTGATAACTTCAACAACCATTTGTGATAAATACCTTCAAAATATAGGAAAGAGAAGGAACATACCTCAGCACAATAAAGACCAAGCATAATCAATTGTGAGAAACTGAAGTATTTTCCTTTCTGTTTCTAAAACTCAGATGTAAGAAAAATAATGATTACTTTCACCACTAGTATTCATCATTGTATTGGAAATCTGAGCTAGAGTAATTAGGTAAGAAAAATATAAAAGTAATCCAAACTGAAAAAGAAGTCAGACTATCATTATTTGCCAATTATTTTTTTTTTCTAAAGATTTATTTATTTATTTACACAAGCATTGGGACAGTCAGAAGCTCGGGAGCGTGAGAGAATTCACCAGAGCCAGAGCGGGGAACAGAACAGACAGACTGATGAAACACACTGCTGAGGGGAGCAGCGGGTGTGGCAGGAGAGGTCTGTGTGCCATGTGGGACACTCGCCGGCATCCGGGGATCAAACCGGTGCTACAGAGGGTGTAGGCAGCTTCACAGCCTAGCACTCAACTGCTGCACCATCGGGGAAGCCCTATTTGCCAATTATTAATAAAATGCACAAAAGTCACTAAAAACTGCACTAAAAACTGTTAGAAATAATATATCAGCACAATGAAGTGGTAGGCTACAAAATCAATAACAAAAATCTGTTGCATTCTTATACGCAAATAACTAACTTGAAAGAAATCAGGAAAAATATGTCATTTACAAAGAATTACATATCTAGGAGTAAACTTTAAAAAAACTATAGACCTGTGAAACAAAAACTGTAAGACATTATTAAAAGAAATAATAGATACACAAAAATTAAAATATATTCCTTGCTCATGGATTTGAAGACAAAACACTGTTAAAATTGTATTTTACACGAAGCAAAATGCCATGAGAATGTAGATTGGTCCAAACACTATTGAAAGCAATATGCTGGTTCTCAACACATTAAAAATGTATCTACCTTATGCTCCAGCAATTTCCCTCCTAGATATCTATCTAAAGAACACAAAAACACTAATTTGAAAAGTTATGTGCACCCTATGTTCATTACAGCATTATTTATAATAGCCCATTTATGGAAACAATTTAAGTGCCCAATGACAGGTGAGTGGATAATGACAATTTGATATGTACACACAATGAGATACAATTCAGCTATAAAGAGGATGAACTCTTGTCATTTGTGACAACATGGATTAGAGATTATGCTAAATGAAATAAATTAGAAACAGCCAAATATTGGGTGATTTCACTCATATGTGGAATATAAATAAATAAAGCAAAAAGCAGACAAAAATAAGTCTAAACAAACTTTAATAATAACATGGCACAGTTGAGGCTACCATGGGGCAAATACCAGAGGGGCCTGAGCCTCACAGCGGCTAAGGGATCCAAAGTACTATGGTGCATGATTATTGATACTATGGTGGTATATGTGAGGTGGTAATATACATTTGAAGAGATGTGAACCTATACTCCTAAACCATACACAGAGTTGTGGACCAACATTACCTAAATAAAAATTAATACTATTAAAAATAATATTATGTCAAGCACTGCATAGCAAACTACCACTTAATCAAAACCACATATAAAATAATAATTAATTCCTATCATTCACACTCCTGGGTCATATTTAGATAAGCATGGTAGTTGTGTTATTTCTGGCCAGGCTTGCTCAATTTTCTGGAGCACAGCTGAATTTTGGCAGATCTAACGATGATTTGGGCATCTTATCTGTGCTACACCTGTCAGTGTCTTCCTGTAAGCTAGCTAAACAAATCCTTATGAGGATGGCAGAAAAACAAGGAGAACAGAAAAATATACAAGCTTTTTAAATCTCATTTTGAATCAGGTGGGCTAACATTTCATTGATTAAAAGTAGTCACATAGCCACAGACTGCATAGCCCAAGATAAACCAAAAATTGTGAGCATTCTTGTTCAAACTTGTTAAGAATCTGAGGACAGCAACAGCTAAGCACTGAACCAGGGACAGATCCTTTTAACCATGTGTTACTGAGAGATCACACACCCATAAAGGTAACCTTACATACTCAAATCAAAGTACTGTGGCATGGGGAATTTAGGGATAATTTACAGCTCAGTTTTTAATGACAGAAACTCAGAATTATATGGAAGAAAATAAAATAGAGGAAATGGAAAAGAATTTGAGCCAATGTGGTCCATAATATTAAGATAAACTATATAACAGAATATGCATAATGTACCATGATGTTTGTATAAAATAACACAATGTTATGATTTGTTATTGATCTCTAGGCCTATAGACGAATAAAAATAAAAATATGGCCAAGGAATATGTGTTACTGTATTTGTGATTAGCACTGGTAAGTGAGGGAATTGAATAGATATGGCCATGGGATAACAGATTTCACGATTCTTAAAATATGTAGGTAAAATTATTACATATGTGTCATTCATGGTAAGAAATTAATAGTAAATATCATTCTCAGAATTTTCTTTTTATATTTTTAATCATTCAGAAAAGCCAATCAAAATATTGGGCTAATATAAACTGTGAACTTTATTTAGGTGATTGACAATGATGTGCCAATGTGTGATAATCAATTTTAACAAATACATGATTCTGGTAGGATATGTAGATAATGGAGGACATGTACATTGTGGGGACAGGGAGAATGTGGGAAATCTCTACACCTTCCATTCAAATTTGCTGTGAACCTAAAATTTCAAAGTGCATTAGATGAATAATAAATAGATATGGGAAACCATATGAACAGACAAACCTCATATGGGAAAATGCAAATAGCCAGTAAACATTCAGACAAATTGTTTAGGGAAAAAGAAACTGACCTTCAAATGAGAAAAAATAATTTAGTACATGAAGCATTTAGAAATCTAAATTGCTATTGTCTTTTTACAAAGTAATGGGTAATATGTCTCAAAAATCATAACATAGTATAATTGTGGTTAATAAACAATGTCTATCTTAGAGATTGTTACAAAATTAAATCAATTAGTTCATGCAAATTGCTTAGAAATACACAGGGCAAATAGTGTGCACTCAATAAATGTACTTACTATTATTATGACTATGATTATTATAATTACTCATACTTTTGATACAGAGCTCCATACACTGTTATCAACTCTAAAAATATTCTAATATGTATTATATATATATATATATATATTTGAGGATGTTTATTATAAAGCACTATAGTGACAATCTCTGGAAATAGCTATATTACTTATCAATATTACATCCTATGGGTTGTTATATCTGTCATAGGATTAGTAAATATATTGGCATAAAGCAAAAAATAAATACCATTATTAAATAATAGCTGCCAGTCACAAAACACTATTTCTGTTTCTGTCAATTTGGGGGGTAGATTTCTGTATTTTTTAGGGAAAGATGAAATTTAGAATAAAATATGATACAAAGGTAATCACGTGGTTATTAACATTGGTTTCCTTACAGAGTAAAAATAAGAAACAAAATTTAAGAAACTAAAAATATATACTATAGCAAAATGAGAAGAAACAGCTAGTGTAATTAGTAAAATGCTTAAAATCATATAAATACGTAAAATGACAGGAAAAACAAAATTAAACATGGACAAATAAAATTATTTTCCTATTTGTTATAATTGTGTTTTATTCTTAAAAGGTACATAGAATAATTTCATTTATCAGGCATATATAAAATATTTGCATAATTAGGATTTGGCTTAAATACTAAATTTAAAATCTCAAGATGAAGACTGAAATTGTAGTCTGCCTCACAAGGAAGATATAATATTTTAAATAAATATGATCTTCATGCTTTTATTTTGGCTCAATTAAGAGCAGTGAGTGCAAAAGTTTAAGAACTAAAAATAAGTGTACCAAAAAAAGGTCACTTACTGTTTTTCAAGATGGATAGTATATATTTTTCTGTCAAATTTGATGGCATACGTAACCTGCAACAAAATATTCAAAGAGAAAGAAATTATTAGAAATGTCAAATTCTTAAAAGACAATCATAATTTTTTTGGAATTACATTTTATTGATTCACGGTTTGTTTACAATTCTATATACTTTTGGGCATACAACTTAGCTTCACAACTCAACATTTGCACATGCCCTGCCCACCCTCCACCAAAGTTCTCATGCTCTATCACTGTTATGACTGTTACCTGCTCCAGCCTCTCTGTCCAGCCTCTCTGTCCAGCCTCAGCTACAAGATTGTGGGGGTCTCCACGGTGGCAGACAAGAAACCAAGTCAGAAAGCCCGTGTGTGGGGAGACCGGAACAAGTCTTTCTTACAGGTACAGGAAATACACAGGTAGCAACAGCAATATCTGTCCGGCTGACCTGGTGGAACAGCCCTGCCCAGTGCCCCCGGGTGGCCCGCTATGGCAGTAGCAACAGCAGCAACGTCCAAACACAGCAGTGGCCCCATGCCCAGTGAGAGGCCAGGAACTGGCTGCATATGGCCTGCGAGTAGCCCCTCCCCAGGAGCCCTATTAGCTTTTATGTGATTTACAGACAAAGCCAGCAGAGGGAAGTTTTGGCCTACTTTAGGCAAGCATGTTACCGATCATGCAAACTATATATTAAAGTTACATTATTTACTGCTCTCCACACATGGGGACTGCATATCAAGTCTACATGTTATTGTTTATTAGACCAACTGGCTGGAAGATCACTGCAAAAAATACTGCGAAACTGAGAAAACTCTGTTTGCCCGTGGACCCTACACTCCCTCACATTTTTAAAAAATCTATGTGCTCTTGGGCCTCCCTGGTGGCACAAGGGGTCAAGACGCAATCTGTGACTCTATCCGCAGCCACTGTAGCACGAGTTTGATCCAGGGAGTTACCCACATGGCGCAGCAGACCTCTCCTAAAGCCAGCTGCTCGGAGCAGCGTATTTCAGTAGATCTGCCTGCTCGGTTCCCCACTCTCCCACTCTGTCTCTGGTGAATCCTCTCGTGCTCCCCCCACACACACACACCTCTGGCTGTACCCCAGTTTTTGTATGCATGAATAAATAAATCTTTTAAAAAAAATCCATGTGCTCTTTAATATAAACATAGATTTCATTACAAATGTCTCAAAATTGCATATTCATAAAGAAGTAGACGACTATATTTCTTCCGTGTTGGATTGTACGACCGAGTTAGTCACAATTAAATATAAGTAAAATCAAAAGTCTAAATCAATTTCAAAACTAAAAGCCATACTCAATAGTGTTTGTTAAGTAGCATAATGAAATTTTAATTTAAAATCATTACATTAAAGAAGTTGAGTAATTTCTGAAGAAAACTGATTTTAACTTTTTGTACTATGCAGTTACTAGCACAAATAAATTTAAATTTATCTCTAATTCCACATTTAAGATTTAAGGCAGTATCCCCTCAATGACATAAGCACTACCTCCATTCTGCATCTCCTTATCCTCTTTATCCACTGCTCTACTTACAAAAGGCCATCTCACACAAAGTTACCAATTTTCAGGGACAGTCCACATTTAATAAGTCCCTCATCATTCCGACTGCAGTCACTTTCTTCATAGTCCTGCTTCTTTCCATTCTCTCTTTTTTTAAAAGATTTATTTATTTATGAACACAAGAACTGGGGTACAGGCCAGAGGTGTGGAGGGGTGAGAGGATTCACCAGAGACAGAGTGGGGAACAGAACAGGAGGATTTGACTGAAATACACTGCTGAGGGGAGCAGGGGGTAAGTCAGGAGAGGTCTGCTTAGCCATGTGGGTATCTCCCTGGCTGGGGATCGAACTCATGCTGCAGAGGCTGTGGATTGTTCCATAGTACAGTGCCTAACCCCCTGTGCCACCAGGGAGGCCCTCTTTCCCTTCTCTTACATAAAGAGTTGTTTATTTAATCTTATGTCAGATTTGTGATATTTTTATGAATTTACTTTAAGCAACAATTTGTACTCATATATTTTTTAATATTTTTATTTATACCTTCATCTATTTCTCATTTTTAATATTAGATATTTCTAATTTGTTCATTTGCCTTGTCTATCTCACCAAAATATCTGCTTAATGTTCTTCTCCAATCAACGTTTGACAGTACAATTTCTGGTTATTTTACCTTCATTTTCTATTCCATTGAATCTACTTCTTAATTCAGTTTTCAGCAATTGAAAAATTTTACAGCAATTGGAAAATTTTGGTATCTCCCAAAATTATTCTGATTTTTTTTCATGTTTTAATCTGTAGTTTTTTGTCTTATATAAAAAGGAATATATGAAGGCATACTCACCCCAAAATCATCCCACGACTGTATTTGTATGTGACTCATGACAAAAATTTAAAATGAAACTAAATTTCTGTTTCTATGTATATTTTAAAAATCAATAAATTATTTTAGCATTCTTATAAGTTCATCTAACCCCATGTAATAATTTTTGCTCTATTTAAATACAATTTTTCAGTAAACTGAAAATTCTAACCCAAGTCAGTTTATGACTTGACAGTTATCAGAAAACTATCCTAGAACATTTTAAAAGGTATTTTATGAACATAGAAAACACTGATAAAGACATCAGGTAATTAGTAAGAATGATGACTTTATTGATTTATTTTAAATATTGGTAACTAATTAGAAATTAGTCTAATTTTTATTTATGATTCACATACATCAAGTGTAGCACTAGTAGTAGAATTAGAAGTAGGAAATGGCTTTTAGATTCAAGAAAGATTTTCAAGGCTTTAGGTCTATACTGGACAGTACCAGCCTGTAGTGAAGTGATGTTCACTACTGGTGACCCAGAGGCAGTGTCAGTGACACTAAGTGTTAACAGTTCTTTGTGACTTGTTGGCCAACGCCAACAACAAACAGCTTTTTGAGACACCTGGGATCTTTGGTGTTCCTTTCAGGCAATGTCAGAGGCAAACTGCAGTCCAGTCTCTACATGTAAAGGTCTTCAGCTTCTCTTCCTTCCTTGGAGGTCAGCTGCTGGATGTTGCTGGTCCTTTTTTCTTCTTTCTTCAGAAGATAGAACAAAGTTTCTCAGTTCCCTCTGGTTCTGCCTTATATTCTCTTTCAGCCCCTAACCCAGCTATAAATCTGATTGGACCATTTTTAATCCTATAGCTAATTGGACCATTTAGCACCAGTCAGCTTATAGCCTGCACCTGACTGGTCCATTCTACAATCTAGGCACCAAGTATAAAAAGGAAGCTGCTGGGTTCTGAGGAGCCACAGCCAGAGTCTACCAGTAGTAGAAGAGCAGGGTGAGAGACCACCATTGCTGAGGTCGCAGGTGTTCTGGTTTCACTTTGACTCCCTTATATGTATATTGTACTATACAGTAGAATTGATTGTTGACTACATCCTACCTTGAAAAGGTGGAGCTTGTTCTCTTGTAAATACCTTTTATTGTACTTGGCAGGAAAATACTTCTGGCAAAATAGAAATGGAGAAAAAATTTGGGCACAGACCATACAAAAATGCTGATAGCCCATGGATCTCTGATCTCTTTAGCTGTTGCCTTTGGGTGTTGCCTGTTGGTCCAGGTCTATTTTCCAATTTGGAATTTGGAATTTTTTGTTTGTTAAGGAAATTTCATTGTTGTAAAACTTTGTCTTCTTTGCAAAACTCAATTTTATAAGCACACAACTCTTATAATCATTGATTAGCATTTTGACATATTACTAAACACTTCTGTGACTTCACATCAGAGACTTTAAGAAACCTCAGATGATGCTTGCCCTTAAAGGAATCTGACAATAAACCCTCCTATTCTCTGGTGCTCTTGTTGAAGAAGCCCCACCCCACTCAGTCCAACACACATACATGGGACATGACCCATAAGCCTTCCAAGTAAGGATATCTCCTTACTTGGAGATATTTCCTTACTCAAAAACTGAACACATGAAGAAATTCAATCCAATAATTGATCAATAATACTTTTCATTCATTGACCAACAATTCTTTCAGAGAAAAAATCTCAATAAAAGTGCAACCTTAACATAAGTGGAGTCATTCTAAAATCAAGACAGGGCCTCCCTAGTGGTGCGGGTGGGAGATGTTAAGACACAGCACTATAAAGCTATCCGCAGCCACTGCAGCACAAGTTCAATTCCCCAGCCAGGGATGTGACCCACATGGCACAGCAGACCTCTCCTGTCTCGCCTGCTGTTCCCCTCAGCAGTGTATTTCAGTCAGTCTGCCTGTTCTGTTCCCCACTCTGTCTCTGGTGAATCCTCTCACCCCCCACACCTCTGGCCCATACCCCAGTTCTTGTATGCATACATAAATATTTTTAAAAATTTTTTTTAAATAAATGAAAATAAAATCAAGCCAGGGTAACCCTGACTAGGGGAATTGCCTTACTCACAATGGCACTTCCATTGCCATAATTCCAAGAAGCCAACAAGATGGAATTATCTTGTTTGAAAGTACTCATAAAAGTGAACTTTTTACCTACCTATGATTCTTCCATCTGATGAATTTGCCCTGTGGTTATTTCACCTGACTATCTCTCTCTAAAAAAAGCCTTAAACTTTGCCCCAATATGGGACACTATTTGTATTTCTGTATATATCTGGTTTCCCTGAATTGCAATTATTTCATACCAAATAAATGTGTGTTGCGTTTAGTGGCCTCCTGAGATTTTAGGTTAACAATCCTTTATACAAAAAAAAAAGAATTACTAAACTAAATGTCTAAAATTTGATAAACCATTTGATGTTACATTCATGATTAAGAGATTAGCAACTACTAATAAAATAGAAGAATTCTAACAAAATATAATAGAAGTTATGTAAATGTGCTCTCTCTCTGTGAAAACAACATCTTATATACAATATTTTTGAATCACGGTTCACTGTTACTGAAACCATGGGAAGTGAAATCACCAAGGAGAGATTACTGTACCTGCTGTACTGTTTTAATCAGATTAAAAATATCATTACTGTCATTTTCACAAAGATTTACATATGCATGTATGCAAATATAAGCATGAAGGGATTCTTTGCATATTATCTTTTATATATTATCATTTAAAAAATCATGGTATAACTATGGAGAGCTGTGTGGAGATTTCTGGACCTACTAAACATAGAGCTTCCATATGATCCAGCAATTCCACTCCTAGGTATTTACCCAAAGGACACAGAAACATCAATTCCAAAGAGCACCTGCACCCCTATGTTTATAGCAGCATTATTTACAATAGCTAAGCTTTGGAAACAACCCAAATGCCCAAAAATAGATGACTGGATCAAGAAGATGTGGTCCATATACACCATGGAATATTACTCAGCATTCAAAAAAGATAAACTCATGCAATTTGCAGCAACATGGATGGCGCTGGAAGGGATCATGCTCAGCAAAATAAGCCAGAAAGAAAAAGAAAAACACCAGATGGTCTCACTCATAGCAGGAATCTAGAAAACTTAAATAAGGGACCAGGAAAATGAATAACTATAAGAAAGTGAAAATCAAAATCAACAAAAAACTATGAACCAGAGACACTCTATGGGGGGTGGGGAGGGGAGGGCTTAGGGTCAAAATAAGGGGGTTACAATTGTATGGGGAATATAAAAATAAAATTTATTTTAAAAAATAAAGATTTATTGGGCCTCCCTGGCGGCGCAGCGGTTGAGCGCTGGGTTGCGAAGCTGCCTGCAGCCTCCGCGGCGCAGGTTTGATCCCCGGCTGCTCCCCGGCCACCTGAGGAGGGTCCCACATGGCACGCAGACCTCTCCTGCCGCCCGCTGCTCCCCTCAGCAGTGTACTTTGGTCCTTCTGCCTGCTCTGCTCCCCGTTCTGGCTCTGGTGAATTCTCTCACCCTCCCGCGCTTCTGACTGTACCCAGTGCATGTATAAACAAAACAAACAAACAAATAAATAAATAAAAACATGCCTCTACAAAAAAAATAAAATAAATTAAAAAAATAAAGATTTATTTATTTAAAAAATAAATAAATAAAAATAAAATCATGGTATAAGGTAATTATTTTCTAGAAAAAAAGTCCAAAGGACTATATTCATTTTGTGTGGTAGTAATTTGCAGTGTTTTTTTCTTAGTGTAGGTTTTTAAATACTTTCATGGTGTTCTTAAATTACTTGAGAAATGAAAAAAAAATCAATACACTCGCTCTCATTCAAACCAAATGGTTCTTAGACACAGTAATTAGAACACAAAATTTCACAAGGGATATGCATGAATTGATTGATATAGTTCAAGAAAAATAAAAAAATATTTTTAGAAACCTGATTTCATAATTACATGCATTTCTGATTCATCGCCATCAGTCCTGTTGGTCTGAATCTTCTGTGGTATTGTTATTTGTAGAAGTGATGTTTCAGAATCTGCAGCAAGGAAAATAGGTGTGAACATTCCCCAGGTTATACAGCAGCATCCCCATTCACAACTTATTTGCCCTTTCCTGCTCGTCACTCTTTGAACTTCCAAGGCGCCGCCACCCCAACGATACACAGCAACACAATCATACTTATCAGGATTCTAGGAAGAGATTCCTCTAGAAGTGGGAGCATGACCTTACCACTATCTAGACAATTTGGGACTTGACCTCAGCCCAGAGCAATGAAGAAGGGTGTTGGTGCCCAGACCTCCTCCAGACTTTGTCATTTCCCACCTCCCCAGGTGGGGGCTCCCTGTTCCTTAGGCGCAGGTCAGGTAAGCCAGGGCAACTCCCGTCCTTCTCGGCCCAACAACCAGCAGGTCCAGCTGGCTGCTGAAACTAGGCAGGTTTTGACATTGCTCCTCTGCACTCTTCCCAGTTTGTCCTGGATTTCTGGTCTGAAAAAGGTGATGGCCTCACGCCCAGGGACGCTGTGACAGGAAAACCTCCTATGGAAAAGGGAGTTTCACTTACTGTAGTTTGCAGAAGTTAGCCGGCCCAGGACTGAGAGGATCAGCAAGAGAGGCAGCATTGTGTGGGCGGCTGGCCAGGTGATTTCGGTTGACTGCTGAACGGCTGCGGAACTGCTAGAGCTCGTGCTTCCGGCCCTACCTGTAGGTCCTGGTTGGGGGGAGCGAGCTGAGCGGAGGGGTGGCGAAGGGTGGAGAGAGGGATGGGGGAGGAGGTTGGGAAGAAGGGGGAGAGGGGAAGGAGAGAAGAGGGAAAGGAACAGGGAGACGAGAAGGAGGGGAGAGCAAAGGGCCGGGTGAGCTGCCTGAGCCTCAGAGGGAGCTGGACATCAGTGTTGGGTGCAAGGTGCTGTGGGGACGGCAGTAACTTCGTGGATGCAGACCAGGTTTGAAGTTCAGGGGCGCCCTTACATGACTCGCTGCACACAGAAAACACATGGAAGCTTGCCAGCATCAGCGCTGTTTTTCAAAAGCTTAACATTTTAAATGCATTCAGGGGCAACATAATGGTTATAAAGTGCATTTTCTCCGCAGGAAATAGGCCATTTGCTGGTGAAGTTCGTGGTAATAGTAGTCCATGTTACAGTTTTCAAGTACAAGGACTGAATTGGAAATCAGGAAATAGGAATTCACAATATGTTTAGTAGCAGGCAGTTCCCTATTTTTAACCATACTACTCTGGATTTCCTATTTTAACTTTTAGGTTAAAGCAAATACACATGCACACATACAGAAACATTGCAAAACAAAAAAAAAAAATTAAAGCAGTTAATAGTGTAGATAATTTTTTTTACAAAACTCTGTGGAAAAGGAAACTGAAAAGCTTAAATGGGTGTCTGCATTTTCACCCTCTTAGAAATTCATGTTTACTTTTTAATAACTATTAACAATGGTTTATTAAGTATAAATATAGTATGTGACAAAGAAAATATAGGATCCCACTTCTTCAGATGTATGTCATTGCACCAAAGGCACCATCAAGGCATCAAGTAGTCTTCCACTGAGTCCATTGTGTCACCTCCTACCTTAGCTCCCCCACTGGTAGCTTGAGGACTTGCTTTTGGTTTGGTTTGGTTTGGTTTGGTTTGATTCTGTTTCCCTGTATCCACATATTAGCAAAATCATCCAGTATTGTCTTTCTGCTTTTGGTTTATTTCATTTTGTAGAATTCCCTCCATTTCCAGGTATGTTGTGACAAATGGAAAGAGTTCATCATTTTTAGAGCTGAATTGTATTCCTCTGCCTCTGTGTTTGAATGTTTGTGTACTACAACATCTTAATTCACTCATCTGTGCTGGCATATAGGTCACTACCATAACTTGGTTATTGTAAATGGTGTTAATAATGACGAAGGAGCACACATATTCTTTCGAATTAGTGTTTTTGCCTCCTTCTGGTAGATACCAGGAGTGGATTTGCTGGAAATGCCTTCAAATTGCCTCTTCATTTTTCTTTTTTTTTTTGACATCTCATTTCTTGCTCTTCCTCCACTTGGTGCTTAGTGCATTATTCTCTTTAAGGTAACTGATTCATCCTCCAATTTATCTATTCTACTTCAATAGCTTTTTCTAGAGTTCTTATCTATTGTGTTGTTTACCGCTAAATTTCTTTTGTTTTCTTATTTTAAGGTTCATTTTTGCCTTCTGTTCATTGATATTATTTCTGGGCTCATTAACTTGTTTTTCTAAATTTTATTAGATCTCTTTGATTATCTTTTCTGACTTTTCTTACATTTCTTACATTGCTTTGACTTATACTTTGTGTTACTTTCTTGCCTTTCTGTGTTTTCTTCTATCTTTGGGTTTCTGTATTATGGCAATTCTGAACTCTCTGATTAGGAGTTATAAACAAAATGTATCACCTAGACACAGAACAAGTACCTATGGCCTGGAACTCAGTTTGAATAATTCCTACAAGAGAGAAAGGATGTTAGTGACTATGTGAGAGTTCTGAGACTGTCCTCAACTGGCAACACTTCCCCTCAATAGCCCAAAGTCTGGAATGAATGTAGCAAGAGAATAATGAGCTCCTGGAGAGGTACAGGCCATAGATGTCCTCTCTTTAGAAGGGAGTTGTTTGTGTGGCCATGGGAATCTGAGGATAGGCAGCAGCTATGGCCAATAGAAGATTTCCAACTTAGGATGTGACAGTGTGCCAGTTTCAAAAGAGGCAAAGCTGTTTATTTCCAATTAAAGGGTCACAGTGGGTAGAAGAATCAATAAACATAAACCTATATGCTTTCACTCAAAGGATTTATTTAGGTTTATGAACTTGAAAGCTAAGGCCATAACAAAAGGAAAGAAAAGCATATTTTTTCATTCTTCAATCAGGTCAGTTCATGGTAAACTTCTTGGTAACATTCTTTCTAAAATGTATGCCTTTTTTATATTGTTGTTTAGTTAACTGTTGTGAAATAAATATAAAAAAATGGAAATGCTATATTTTAATTGTAGTAACAGCCTTTTAATTTTACTACACGGTGACAGGTATAGAAAGTAGTATGACATTGGTTATACTATTGCAATCTATGCCGATGCTCCACGAAATTTGTCAGCCTTAGCTTCTTTTCCTGAATTTTTGATAGCCAGATTAAAAGGAAATATTATCAACTTATATTTATCTAAGTTTCATTTAAACACTCTAAGTTTTACATGATTAAAATAAAATCACCAGCAAGGAAATGGAGAGGAAAATGATTATATCATGTGAAGAAAATAATTACTATTATCAATTTTTTATCTACAAAGAAAGTATACTTCCAAAAGTCTTCTGTGCATTTCCAAAAGGTTTTCCATATCCACCAAACCAACTGATTTTTCAAAACCAGTGTCATTCTTTACTCCTCTCCACTTAATTAGTTCACAATCAAAATGATTCTTACCTTACACTACTTATACAATATATCTTTAGTAAAAGTTTCCAGTAGGGCCTCCCTGGTGGCTCAAGGAGTTAAGACACAACCTATGAAGCTATCTGCAGCCACTGCAGCATGAGTTTGATCCCCAGCCAGGGAGCTACCCACATGGCTCAGCAGACCTCTCCTGACTCGCCTGCTGCTCCCCTTGTTATAGGGCAGCCCCGATACAAAACAGGGTGCCTGACTGTGGGTCCTCACCCACGCACTTAAAAGGATTTATCAATACTCTACTGCAGGCACACACGAAAGGTTAATAAAAGGTTTATTTACAAGGGAAGGGCAAAGGAGGAAATGTACAGCTCAGGGAGAAAAATAGGAGACAAAGTTTTAAATGTGTCCTACCTGATCCGCCAACCTGGAAACACAAATGGCATTCTGACAGCTGGCCGCAAGCCAGGAGCCCTGAAGCCAGGAGGCAAGTGACAGAGCGAGAGACCCCAAAGCCCACGTGCTTGGTTTTTATACCCAACCTGGCTGCTTAACTCCACCCTCAGGTCCCAGCTACCTTCCCTTTGGTGGTGACGGGATTTGTCTTTCCCAATGTCTTGATGACTTTGGTCTGGAGTGGGGGTGGGGTCCACAAAGCCTGTATGGGATTAGCTCAGAACATCCTTTCCCCCTAACAATTCCCCCCTTTCACTTTTTGCCACCATTTCCATGGTGATGAATATCAAATATATGGATGCTGGGATATTGTCTCAGATGAAAATTTTCCAGGGTTCCAGTGTGAAGGAAAACCAGTCCCTCCAGGTATTGTCCATTGTGGAAAACAAAAGTCCTCCATTCCTGGAAAAACAGTTCATCATTCCAAACCAAAAAAAAAAAAAAAAAAAAAAAAAAAAAATATCTGGAGGCATTAGCCAGAACAAGACAGCAAATATGTCAAGATCACAGGGGAAAAAAAATCTTAAAATGGTTTAACTTATGTAAAAACAAATTCTTTCAACCTTGATCCCAAATTTTTTGAACAGCATAGCCAAAGTTTGCAAACTAAAGGTACTTTTAAACCATATTACCTATTTTTGCATAAAATCACAGGGCAGAATAACTAAGCAGCAATTTTAGCTGGCTTTGTTGGAATACTCCATATAGGATCAGAGCGAACTGTTGACATCCGGTCCACGTAGGCTTCAGGAACAAAGCTGGTCTCATCAGACTCCACCTGGGCTTTCCTCTTCTCGAGGGTACCAGGAACTTTTCATTGGGTGGGCTGTCTAGTCCTGCCAATGAAGGCAAGCTTCCTCACCTTCTTTGGAGGTTTCTGGAACCCCACGAACAAAGCAAACAGGTTCTCCTGTTCTTAATTCAGCTCTGTTTCAACTTGCTGGAAGAACTCCACTCAAAGCCACACAATGAAATTTATGTCCAATTTTCTAGTTTAAGCAGACAAAATCCCTATGGAAGTTATACAAAAACAGACTCTAAGGTAAGTAGTAAAAGATTTCTACCACTATTTTATGCTGTGTTGGTATCAAGGGGAGAGAAAATGCAAACACAAGTTAGTTTTGCTGGAAAAAAAAATTGCAACCTTGCTGCAGATCCTGGTCACCAAAACAAGAAAACTTTGTGGATTCAGAACAAAATGCAAAAAAAAAAAAAAAATTACCAGTATTATGTCAAAGAAAACTTAGTAAATATCAGGTGTATTTCAAAGTCTATTCAGTCCTTTGCAGGAAAGTTTTTACTCTCAACAGTTCCATCAATAGGAATCTGTTGAGACCTTTTCTCCCTATATTTCCAGAAACAATTTCTGTAGATATTAAACAATTGAAGTATACAATATTACAATGTGACAATCACCATTGACAATTTACATTCATATCAGCTCAAGGTGTTACCCATTTTCCAAGTGACAATGCTTCCCTTCTAGTTTTACTCTACTAGGTGAGCCAAATAGAACAAATTCATCTAATGCCTTTCCCAGGAGGAAAGGGAGAAACTTTGTGGAGTGTCTCAGGAGCTCTACTGAGGTTCCACAAAATTTCCTTGCATCAGCCAAATGACAGGCTACCAAATTTGTGCTTGAATTTAGATTTCTGGGAAGCTTTGCCACAAACATCAGAAAAATAACAGAAACAACAATGTTCAATCTCTATGAAGGCACCGGCTTAGTTCAGTAGTACAGTGTTGACAATGAAACCATAACCTTTGTGTTTCCTCATAACTAGAGACTCTTTTTTTTTTTTTTTTTACACCCCTGGAGGCCAAGA